CTATCAACTTATTTTAACCTGACTTATGAATCATAGCCTCTATACGACTACTTAGTAATAAACTTTTAAAATGTGCAAAAAATCAAAAAGATACTGAAAAAAAGGATAATTTTACAATTACTCATAGCTCTTTATAAGAATCTCTTTCTTTTTCTGTGTCCTTAGTTTATTCTATAAGATTAGACAGGTTAGGGATACAACTGTACTAAGAAATTTAGGGGCTTCAAAGTAAAAAATGATCTATCCCATGCCTGAGGGATCATACGCATACCAGAAGGGAACATATGCATAAACAAATGAGCTATGCAATTTCTTTCAACAATTGCTCCACATTAGTTATGTCAAGGACCTTGCAGATATAGTAGTTTTTTCTGGGACTGAAGTCTTTTAATCATGCTAGGAAATACCTATTTATGGCATATCTGAGAGTAGATATAGGCCATTCATTTGTCACCGAAATTTAGAACTTCAGGGATTTTTTTTCAGCAGTAAGGCCATTTAATTCCACTAACTCCTTGTGTTTGTAAACTAGATTCAAAAAGACAGTTAACTGATCACAGTCACAGAACTAATTAAATAATAATCAAATATTAATAACCAGTTTTAATTTCCAGATAAGCTACTCTAACAAAGCTTATAGATGCTAAATATTTATTTTGAAAAAACCCTGCAAATTAGGAAAAAGTAATGTGCTAAACATTTTAGGGCAATATTACTATTGACTGAAGCTCATCAGAAATCTGATGTTTCCATTGACTATGCTTCTCTATTTTGTAAAATATTTGATAACACCAGTAGGAAAGCAATTGAGTGTATCATTAAGGCACCTATTAAAAACAAATACTTTATTCAACTTACTGATCAATCTCTGTAAATGACAGGTGAAACAAAGGTAAAACATTGGGGAAACTAGGATGCAACAAGGCTGTGTCAAAATTGTACCTTCTAGCAATTGGCCTTTAAGTCCAATCAGCAGTTATATACTCAAAGCCTAATGAAAACCAGTTTGTAGTGGATAAAACTAGAGAATTTTCCATTTATCTTTTAAGTGGTATATATAAAACAAACATTTTCAAACAGTAGCAATAAAAACACAAAGTGAAGATTCTCAAAAGTACTTTTCACATTCTTACATAATTCTTTACTAAAGAAAGTCATTGTCAGAAGACTCTATCAACTCTACTAAACATTTTACTTAATAAAAAGCTAATGAAACTATGAAAAATACTATTCTAAAAACTAAGTTTTATGTTTTATATGAATTCTAAATAGATTGATTTTATTGTGATATTACTTATAAGACAGATTTAGAGACATTCTTTTTTAAAAAGTTAAACACATAGAAGCAAGATATTAAAGTTGAGGAAAATAATATATATATATTTAAATAGGTCAAATGGAGTAATTTGAACACAAAAGGGTGTGTGAAATAAAAATGGCAAGAATTATATGTTTTCTATAATATCCTAGACTTACAACAAATTTTAAAATATAATAAAGAAAAATGAACTGAGAAACATACTACTATCCTTTTCTTGTCTTACTAAGCTAGAGAAAAAATTAATTGGAATATAGGGCTAAAATTTTAGTTTGAAAGATCAGAGAAAACTTCACTGATGGTTTTAAAGAAAAATAAAAATGATACAGTTACTAATACATGAAAAGTAATAGTTTGGCCAGAATATTTATTTCATCATAGTTCTGTAATAGAAATCTATCAGAAGAGATAGCACCATTGATAGCACTGAATTCTATGATAAGATTATTATGCTTTTCTGTTAGAAAAAAAAACACATTTAAAGAAAAATGCACATTTAAATCTTTACAGATGGGTGCTGGAAAGAAAAGGAATCACCACTTTCCTATATTTGTAGATAAAAACATTGACAGTATTTCATAAGCAAATTGATGAAATATGTAATTCTAAAAATTTATTTTAAAGTAATACTAAATTTGATGTTGTAATCTCCTTAATGAATATATTATAAACTTCCCAATACTAAAATTCTTCAATGCTCCATCCTACGTAGGAAGAAATAATGTACACAGAACATAATTTTGCAGAGCTCTCTTGTATCAGTTATTTTAGGAAACTACTCCCAAACATGCAATCTAGAATCCAGGTTAAATATAAAGAATACATTGTTAATATATATGTAATGGAATCAACAAACAATTGGCCAGCAAATGTAAAATAATAGATTTCCATTGGTATTACTTAATGTAATAGGAAAAACGACTTGGTTACAAAGAATACAGCAATTGAGATTGCTGCTATATTTAACTGAAGACAAAAAATGAGAAATACTTTATTGATAGAGAGAAACCCATGATATTTCTGTGTTTGAAACTAGTATCATTCTGTACTTTCATTCTAAAGCCTGTCATCTTGGATTCTATTTTCAAAGAATGTGATTTGATGTTAAAAGACATGTCATAACTTGGACTTCAGACTTCAGTGCTTCAGAAATATGTTTATGTACCTCATAATGTAATTATAGTTACTTTAAGATAGATAAGGCAAATGGTAGCAATACACTAGAAATAAAATGAAAAATGCAGTGGTCCAGAGGCTCTTCTGGGATGATGTGTCTGAAAAGCTGCTCAAAGCTTCAGAGTTTGAAGTTAAATTTTTGATGTTGTCACTCTCAATCTATTGAATGGCTGACAGACAATCAAACCCGTCTGGCTGACTGGCAGCTCATTTTGCTGGCAGGTGGCAAACAATTAGACACACCAATTTGTGCCTCCTGATGACATTAAAGCATGAAACTAAGTTGTATGCAGGGCCTAGTGATTTGTGTGAAAGCATTTCAAAAATAATACTCTTTGCCGTGGCAACTCATTTCAGACTGCCACCTCCCATTATGGGTTTGAGCAGTGAAGACGACAGACTTGAGTTACGTTCAGTGCAAGGCCGCTTCTGTTCTATCCGTCATCAGTGCCCCCTGAGACCTCAATCCCCTCCTTTCATCAATATCACCTCGTCATTTACATTTGATAGTACTTGAGCTACTGCATATATTAACCACACTGGAGACTCTTTTCCTAAAAAGAAATGAAATATGTTTTGTGCTCTTCTATTTCATTTCTATTTATGCAATTTAGAATAATGATTCCACTCCCACTGCATTTTGCACAAATGCTGCCAGCAACAAATAGAAAGTTCTGTTTATAATGCAATATTTGCAAAAGGATAAAAATTTTGAGAAGCTTATAAATATTGGCACTCAGGTGACTGCTTTGAGTTTAAATTAAGAATGTTATTCTAACAATCCAAATTAAAATAAAAATATTTTACTCAATTTCACTTAATTCATTTGTGTTAGTCACAATAATTACCTGTATTTATTAATTTGCATTTAAACAATATAGTTATAATTTAAAAGTAGGACAAAATTTAAATGACCGTAAATTAATTCATTGTAGTATTTATCTAAAAACTTTTCCATATTTATAACTATATTATTTAAAGGCATGTATTTATATAAACTCATAAACATATACATGAGTGCTCTGGAAAAATATCAAATACATGAAATTGTAAAAGGAAGAGTCACTATATGAATGAATATATGAATATTACAATATCAATAGTTTAAAAAGATTTAAATTTTTTCTACATTTCATGATCTCACAATTGTTCACATCTTTAGAACCTCAGAACAACACATTTTGACTGTGCAACAATTACTTGCAATTTTTTATTTTTTATTTCTCTACAATTTCACTGAACACAAAAGTAATTGTAATTATTTTTATACCCAAGGAATATATGTAAAATACTAATTAAATTGCTAATATGCATATTTTCAATTGCATTTTTTGAATATGAAAAGATAATCCATCCTAAATAAATGAATTTATTTTCACATTTCTACCCCCAAGGTGTAAAATAAAAATTACTATTCTGGTAAGGACAAATTGGGCTTTTTTTATAGAAAGCAATATTAAACATATGTTTTATTTTATGTATAAATTTTTTAACTTTCTGGTTTAATAAATATTTGATTTCCTAATCTGATACTTTGTCTCACTAAAATTACACATTTGTTAGTAACTTCATACGAACACATATACAAAATATATACCTTTTTGTATCGTAATACACACATCAATTTTTGGTATGAGAAAGCATTTTAAACATCAATAAACTGATTTAATTTAGATTGTATACTAACATATATTTTCATTTATATATAAATATATAAACATAGACATAGTGGCCTAAGTTTGTAATCTTAACTAGCTGGAAAGCAGATTGGAGGACTGCAGAGGTCAAGGTTAGCTTAGGTTTAGTTTTCAAGAATCCATTATGACCAATAACTGGGTGTGGTGGTACAATGCTGTTAGCTCAGCTATAGAGAAGCATAATGACTGGCCCAGAACTTGTGTCTGCCATACTAATAACTCAGGAAGCATAGTCTAGGCCAGTCCATACATAAAGTAAGACCCTATTCTGAAAACAGCCAATGCAAAATAAGTAGTTTAGATACTTAAACAGCCAAAATGCTTTTCAGAAATTTACGTCATTACATGCAACAAAATATGGTGTTTATACTGATAACAGAAAACTCAAAGGAAAACAATTTCAAATGATTTCCATTTAAAATTTGAATTTTTTTACTTAAATAGAGCATTTAATCTAGAATAGTATGGCATCTTACAATATAATAATACTATAATTTGAGGGTGAGAATAGATTTTGGAGAGGTTTAACCTATCTACTTTCTCATTTTATACGTAACGCAATAATGCAGGAAGAGAAAAATGAGCTCTGCAATGTACTATAGTTCCTTGATAATATATTATTAACAAAATCTGGGTTCTCACATTCCAATTCAATTCCTCTCATCATACTGAAACCTCTTTTTAAAGATCTATTATTACAATTCCTTATCATAAAATCATCAAGTTTATCTCTCTGCCTGATATTTTAAAATTAACCTACTTTTCCTCTCACAAAAAAAAGTACCGTGAGCAGTAAGTTGAGGACCTACCTGTCAAAGGAATGAAACTGCATAGGAAGAATAGCTTGCGCTTCTCTCTTCAATGCTGGATCTGGGTATGGGATAGGTTCAGGGCCACATTCTGCAATTTCAACTGGAGCAGCCACAAGACTTTTCAATATTTCCTTGACATTGATGCCTTTGGTTTGACTAATGCTAGAAATAGATGGTGCAGGCTTCAACAATTCATTGGGATGTTCAGTTAAGCTCTCTTGAGATTTCTTTACTTCAGATGACAAAGTAGATAAAAGTTCACTCATGGCATCAGGACCTGTGGTAGTTTCTAATTCTGCCCCATTCAAGATGCTAGCTACTTGCTCCTCCCCAATTCCTGAATCTGTATGAGGAATTGAACTTTCTATTTGTATTTCTTCACCAGGAGTTGGTGTTTCTTTTTCTTTTATAGTGTCTGGAAATGCAGTAGGTGTTTCTGTAAAGAAAGGAATTGATTTTCAAAAACTTCACTAGTGAAAATTCATGTTATTAATAAAACATTCCCACAGCAGGAAAAATACATCCATTAGTATGTCTGAGTGGCAATGATACAAATCACATAAACAGATCACACAACTGCTGTTTCACTCAGTCAGCAGATGTTAAAATAATTTTTAAAAATTATCTAGCATTTCAAAATTAATGCCTTTAATAGCATCAGGAAGTAATTCTTGGAACAATCTCTTAAACTAGCTTAAAATAATTATTTATTATATGGATTTCCCCCTTTTATTCTTCTATTATCTACCAATTATGCGAGAGAAATCCTTTTATGTTGTTAAAATTTATTATTTTCCTTAAATATATGAAGTCAATTTTATACCTTTATGGATCCTTCAATAACCAATAACAAATGTCTGAAATACTTAAGCTAATTGATTCTTAGAAAATTATACACACATAACTTTGAAGAATTATCAAAATGTGAAGGATAGAATAATCAGTTTTCAAAAGGATAAATTATTAAAAGTTTTGAGATGATAATCTCAATAACATCAGGCAAAGCCAGAGAAGGTACAAGTCAGAGGTAGAGATAGCAATTGTTTTTTAAATAAAACTTCATGAGAGACGCTTGTGAATAAAATTAAAATAAAAGGATTAGGATTGTAGGAATTCTTATGTTTCTGGAATGTATAACCTACGAGTGGAAAAGAATAAACCTGTAACTTGTATAACCTGTAATTTGTGTACATTGTGTATTGAGATGAGGGGGCTAGGTTGTTATCCACTATTAAGGGGTATATACCTATAGATTTCATACTTTTGGTGAGAAAACAACTGCAGCAATATATTCAGAAATGAATGGAGTGACATTTCTAGAACAATAAGACAAAGAATATGAGCGCAAAATTAACTAAAGCACAAAAACTTTCTTATACAGTTTTTTTTCTTTTCTTTTTTTTTCAGGGGAGAGCGCGAACGCAGTCCCCCACTACCACAAATTATGCAGTCGAGTTTTCCCGCATTTGGGGAAATCGCAGGGGTCAGCACATCTGGAGTGCAATGGATAAGACTCGCCCTGGGAAAACCACCTTTGTGATCATGGTATCTCCCCTGCCAGGTAAGTATCTTATAAAATTTTATTAACAAAAGCATATGACATACTTAGTCCTTGGGTTTGGTTTTGTTTCCTTTTCTTTTTTTTTTTTTTTTGGTCAGTTGTGGGGCTTGAATTCAGGGCCGGGGTGCTATCTCTGAGCTCTTTTGCTTAAGACTGGTGCTTTACCATTTTCAGTTTTCTGGTGATTAATTGGACATAGAGTCTCATGTACTTTCCTGCCCAGGCTGGCTTAGAACTGTGATTCTCAGATCTCAGCCTCCTGAGTAACTAGGATTACAGGCATGAGCCTGACACTAAGTCCTTAGTTTTAGTTTAGTTGATTTATACATTTGATCTTGAGTTCAGGGTTTAAAATGTCAAGGTATTTTTTACTTATGGTATATTTTGCATTAAGAGCTACTCAAAATGTTTAAACTATTCAAAGAATATTAGACTTAAATATAAGATTTCATTAGTAAACAAAATATCTAAGAAATGAGAAGTACAAGTTCTCATGTCGAAAACGAACTTTACAACTTTGGTGGGGGGGGGAAGGATTGGGTGGGAGGAGGGGGAGTCTAGGAAGGGATGTGAAGGGTAAACAAAGGAGGAGGCTGCAATGCTTGATAAGAAATGTACTCATTATCTTGCCCATGTAATTGTAACCCCTCTGTACAGTATGTTCACAATAAAAAAAGAAAGAAAAATATATTCATATCATATAAACATATCATATAAATATCATATAAATATATAAATATAAATATAAAATGAATAAATAATCCAAACTCTGACAACAACTACAAATTTTTTTCGCATATCTACTTACTAATTGGCCCTCAATGAGAATATAACTCTCAAAATCTTTAACTTACTAACTACATAATTGAAATTCTAATGATGGGTTGACTTCTTGATAAGCTACTAATTAAAAGTGTATTAATTTTTTTTTCAATCATGGGGCTTGAACTCTGGGCTTAGGCGCTGTACCTGAGCTCTTCAGCTCAAGGCGAGCGCTCTATCACTTGACTCACAACGGCAGTTTTCTAGTGATTTTATTGGCGATAAGAGTCTCACAGAGTTTCCTGCCAGGGCTGGCTTTGAACCACGATCCTCAGATCCTCCTGAGTAGCTAGGATTACAGGCGTGAGCCACTGGCGCCCAGCTAAAAGTTTATTAATCTTGAATGTTAGTTATTTCTAAATAGCTACTCAAATATTTATGCACCAAAAAAATCTGATTTTATTTTAACTGGGACTGAATGATTTCAAAAGAGAAGTGTAACTTTGACATTTCAATAAGAACCCTATTCAAACAAATATTTTGTTTCCATAAGAAATAAAAATTAAATGCCATAGGAAATAGCAACTGCAAATAAAAATAGACCAGCAGTCAGAAAACTACCTTCTCCCTATGCATTGATACCATTTACAAATTTGCTCAGCTGATATTACATATTTCAGCTTAAATACCTGATGTCTGCATAATACTTCCTATGACACTGACATACTTTGAGGACTTAATTACTTTACATAGGAAGTTAGAAAAGGAAAAATAGAAAAATTAATTATACCAATGACATTATAATAATATACTAATGACAGTAGGTTTTTAACATTTTCGGTAGTTCTCATAGGTTTCTCATTTTAATATAAGAAGCTGAAACAATACTAGCTTGAGTGATCTTAACCCTATCAGAAACAGGCAGCTGGATGTCAGATGCTTACTTTCCTTGAAGATTTTCATACTTTGGAAAAAATATGAGGTTAAGTTCAATAAGCAATGTGATGTTAATATGGTGAGCTTCCTTCCCCCAAAATTCCTGTTTAATGGTTGTTTATGAAATGTTTCAATTTTTTACATATTAAGGTACTTTCTAAAAATCTCTAAATAAGAAATGACCTGAAAGAAACGTACCATACATGTGTTACCATAGCACTAAAAATTGTATTAATGATTTGCTCTTCAAGTAATATTAAGTTCTTTTTATATAAAAAGCTGTATGCAACTGACTTGTACATTTTGTTTATATCTTAAAAAAAACAAGATTAAGTGACATAAAATTTATCCATAATTCCCTAAAGAAAAAATATGTAATATAATTTTACAACTTTACTAAAGTTTATTTTATATAAAAATATAATGCATCCAGGAATTATTTTCAAGTATTTACTATAATGGTTCATTTATATTTGCTATATTAAATATATGAATACATGAGGAATTTAGTATCATTACTAAGGAACAAACAATAAAGAGCCAAGATAATGTTTAACTGATGGTTAGCCAACACTGTTAAGTTTATTCTAATAAATCCAAAGAGTGTGCTGAGCTCTTTGAAAATATATATAAATTATTCTAATCAAATCTGGGAATATTTTTCAGGCCAGGATTTCTTCAGATACTCATTCTGTCCCTTTATTTTTCTTTCCTTTACTCAAGGAATCTCAGGATGTATATTTTAGTTAATTTAATGACATCTGACAAATCTGTGAGGTTGTTCACTTTTTGTTGTTCCATTTTTCAATTACCACATTCACAGCCAACTATCTCCTAGAGTGCTGCTCCTTCTGTAGATGCAAATCTGTCAAATTTCTCTAGAGCCTTTGTCATTGTGTGATTTTCTGTGATTCTCTATTTTTAACCTCTATTTTTCAACTGTAGAATTTCGAGGTGGGTTTTTATAATTTCTAATTTTGTTATTTGGTGAGACATAGCTATTGTATGTTCAACTCACTAGAAAAAGTTCTCTTTAATTATCTGACCATATGTGTAGCTTTGATTTGAAGGTCTGTTCAATATTTAAGCCTTCTCCTTCCATGTATGGAGCATACTTTCTGCTTCTTGGTTTAGCTCAGTTTTTTTTTTTGAGATCGATAAAATTAGACGTTTAAAATAATGTGGAAATTCTAGAAATCAGACCCACCCCCACAAAGTCTGTTGTTCTGTTTACTGACTTTATTTTACTGCTTCTGTAAAATGTGTTGTTTCTATCATCTGGAGCAACCGAAATTTCTCCTCAGCTATGCCAGTGGTTATCATAAATACTGACATAAAGGTTTTTTTGGGGTTTTTTTTGGGTCCGGTCGTGGGGCCTGAACTCTGGGCCTGGGCGCTGTCCCTCAGCTCTTCAGCTCAAGGCTAGCGCACTACCACTTGAGCCACAGCACCACTTCCGGCTTTTTTCTTTTTTCTTATGTGGTGCTGAGGAATCGAACCCAGGGCCTCGAGCATGCAAGGCAAGTGCTCTACCACTGAGCCACCTTCCCAGCCCCTGACATAAAGGTTTTGAACCAATAAATTTCACTCTTCCTGCCTTCCTTTGCTACAGGCTCTGTACTTGTGTCTGACTGTGCTATAGCATCTCTGCTCCTGCAGTTGAATGTTTCTCATCCTATGCAGACATAAAGCAGCAAAGGTAAGAGCTCTTCCTGGACTAAACAGCCCCAAGAATATACATATATCATTTTCAGACTGTGGTAAGATGTTAACGAAGGTACTTCTTTGCTCCAAATTAGGCCTATTATGTCAGGAGGTTATAATGTTAAAAGTTACTTATTATTAACAAAAAGTCATAGAAGGTTGAATTTGATTCAAGTACATTATGTAGGTAAATATTCACAAGTCAGATAACCAAAAGTATTGTGAATGGAATTGTTCAAGGGCCTTTTAAACAACCCAAAACATTCAATGTTCTGGGGCTTAGCCTTTCAAAGAACTCCCAAACCAGTTCTAAGTCCTCTCCAGCTGTTTTCAACAGTTGCCAACGTTGTTTGGTCTCTGGTTTCCAGGGTTACCACACAACTAGAAAGACTAGATAGCAAAAGGATAGCAAAAAGTTGCAATTAAGCTTTCTATTCTTTTAAGGTTTTTACAATTCTTATAGAACGAATACTCTGTGGATTGCTTTACCCCTTTTGATTGCTTTCCAGAGAACTAAAGAAAAGTCAATTTTGACAATTTTTGCCAGTGTTCTCTCATTTTTTGTGTGTGAATAAAATTTGGAAGTCCTACTCACTAACTAGACATTTCATCTTCAAATTGTGCTTAAAACTCAAATTTTAATGTAGCTTAAAGTTTTTGCATTTTGAAAAAAATCAACAAGAAGTTATAAAATATTCAAACATACCTAGTTTGGTGTTCTTTTTTTTCTAACTTGTGTTACTCTTTCCTTCTCAAAAAGAAAAGAAAAGAAACCCTGCAGCTATCACCTACTGCAATGTATCATGTATTTCTAATATATAATGGAAATGACCAGCATTGTTAATAATGAATGTCAACGTAAGTGTCTATATCTTTTCTGATTTGCAAAACAAAGATGCATAGCAAAATATGCTGTCATTCTAATCATATCAATTAGATAAACTATAACTTAGCTGTTATGTAATGATTAAGAGCCTAGGCTTTGAAATTAGGATTGACTTTCAATCAAGATTTATTTACCACTTATTAACCTGCGATTTAGAATACATTCCTTGACTTTGCTCAGCCTATTCCTTTATAATGTGGGCATACAGAATACATAAATTACACTAATACTTATAGAGAATAATACAAGAATGAATAGCATAATGTCATGTATTAATTTTATATTTGCTACTGCTCTCATTGATATTACTGTTATCATCACATGATCATATCCTACTAGAAAATATAGAACTTAAGCACTATTCTGTCATCCTATGGCAAATGAAAAGTTACATTTATAATTATAGAATATTCATAAATTAATTAACATTTGGAAACTTCAACCCTGTTTGTAGACTATTTATCCATGTGTGTATTCTGGACCAGCACACTATCACCTTTATTTTCTATATTAATCATTTTCCTGATCATAAATTATATAAATACTAATGTGATATGTTATTGGTAAGTTCATCTAAAGCAACTTTATTCTTATTAAACCAAAAGTTTCTAAAGTTTCTAGGACAGATTATCCACTTATAGTCTTCTTTGCTCTACTATGCTTATAAGTTAAATAAATATTCAGTTTATCATCACTGTTTATCTTTACAGAATAGTTTTCTTATTCATTAACATAATCACATAACCTGACAAAGACTTTATTATATTTATTTCTAAACACCATGGAAGATAATAGAGATATAGTAAATATGAATAAATGATGTCTTTTATTTGGAAAAGTACTGGAAGTCTTAGCTAAATAAGCAAAAAAAAAAAAGTCTCCCTACTGAAACAAGTTTTATTATGTAGAAAAGACCACCAATAAAAAAATTAAAAATTCAGTAAAGTTTCAGGGTACAAAATAACATACAAAAATCAGTAGCATTTCTATCCACTAATAACACAGTGTCTAAAAAACAAATCAGGAAAACAATCCCAGTTAGCTAAGTTGGTTAAAGATCTCTACACTGAAAACTATAAACATAATTAAGAAATTGAGTAAGACACAATGAAAGGTATTCCATGTTTATGGATTGGAATATTAATATTGCTAAAATGCTCATTTTCTATCCAAAGCAAAGTATATACTCAAATAAATTCTTACCAAATGCCAATGATATTCTTAGCAGAAATAGGAAAAATAATTGTAAAATTCATGTGGAATCACAAAAGCTCTACATAGCTGAAGAAATCTTGAGCAAAGAAACAATGCTACAAGCATTGTACTACTTTTCCTTAAAAAAACAAACAAACAAACAACGACACAGAACACAACTCTACCACAGAAGTAAAATCCATAGTATTAGCCATCCAAGGAATCCTGCAGAGTGTGTATACAGGAAAATCCTGGGAGCTTTTAAGAATTCTGTCTATTAAAACTTTTTTTTTCTACAGCTATTAATCTCTTGTTAATTCTACCAACAAGCATAATCATTTGGCTGCTAAAATTTTCATCTGTAAAGTTTCAGTATTTTTGTTTAATGTCTTACGATTCTCTTCTCATTGTGTTCACATTTTCTTTTCATTCAAAAACATTTTAATCTTACAAAAGCTGTTATTCAATGCTACTATTTCTTTTTCCAAATATGTTTCTGGCCACTGGTTTTTCTCTACTGCTTATGTTCATGTTTTCCTGTTCTTTACATAATTAGCAATGTTTTAATAGATGGTAGACATTTAATTCTATGTCTTCTGGTGAAATAGGTTTTGCATTCCTTTGAAGAATATTATGACTTTGAACTTAAAGGAATTATTTTTTTAACTTTTTTCCAGTGAGTGTAGAATAGCCTACACATCAGACTAATTTATCCCCATCTCTAAGGTGTGACTCTGTCAGCTTTGCTGTATATCAGTATTGTACATATGACTATACAGATAATTAGGTACTTAATCTGTAGGTACATATACTAGGATGCATATGTAAAAGCTACCCATTGATCTCAATAGGATATCCTATTTGTGATAAGTATACTTATTTATAAACAATTAGAGCAAAAGTTTATTTTTATAACAACTTATGAAATAACATCTTGTATATACAGTTCTCTAGCTTGGGGAGGGGAAGGGAAAAAATGCTTAAATAGGGACACAGGTTGATCCATTATAACAATGAGATGTACAAAACTCTGTTGAAAAAGGAACTTTACAATTTAGGCAGGGAGAGGGGGAGAAGAAGAGGGGAGTGTAGTTGTGGAGGTGGGAGGGAAAGGAGGGTAGGGGAAAAACAAAGGAGGAGGTAACAATGCTTGATAGGAAATGGACTCATTACCTTGCTCATGTAACTGTAACCCCTCTGTACAGTATTTTTACAATAAAAAAAGTAAAAAAAAAGAATTTTCATCAAAAAGTTCAGTAGATGAAGTCAGTATTACCTTTGTAAAATGAGTGAGCAAAGCTCTGCTCAGGAATTAATTTGGCAAGGAATCCATGGTTCAAACTTGGATGAGGGATAGATGGTATAACCACAACTGTGGAGAAAATCATAGATTAGAATTTGAAACAGAATGTAAAAACCCACAACATGGTTCACTGAAGATCCATTACAATTCTATATTACTTCAACATGCAAATAGTATTAACTTCGAGGTATGATGGAAGCAAAGAGCTCATGTATTACAAGAACGAAAAATATATATATTCATTAAATAGAGTGCTCTGAATAATATATAAATACTATAAATACACAAGGAAAATATAACTGGGAGATTAATTATAATATTACCCTTTATACATATAATACATTTATTAGCCTATTAAAATAATAAAAATTTAAATTATAAAGTGTTAGTATTTTAAGTGATAAAAGGAGAGAACCTGGAATGGTGGAATTTTATAGTATAAAATTAAAAAGAAAAGTATACTATGAAATATCATATTCACATTGATGAGTAAAATGAGACATCCAACAATAAAATGGTATACCTAAAATACCCTTTCAACCAAGCTGCAGAGATTTGACGACCAGTTTCTACTCAACTTCTTAAAATATTCTTAAAATTTAACTTATAGATCATACTACTTTATTTACTACAGAGAATTTCAACTACAAATTAATTCAGTGGTAGATGAAATATAATTAAGTTACCAAGGTTTCATTCTAAACAGAAAAACTATCTTGACATAAACATCTGGCAGGAAGTGCAAATAACTGAAGGCACCCCAGGGTACTGAAATATTAGATGTCAGAATGTACTTCTAAATTGCAAGCCGAGTAGCCAGGCCAATAATCCAAGAACTTTTGCAACGTGAGTGTGTTTTGCAAATAAGTAAGACATGAACCAAAGCAGCTTATTAATGTCCATGTTACTGCTTTATAAGTCTGAGTTTAGTTGAGGTCACTTTGTGCAAATTTTGAAGCATTTGTACAAAATTTAAAATGTATGTTTGCATATTATGAATGATTGGTAGAATACTTAGATATTGAAATTGCCATACACAGAACAAATAAAGAAAAAGGAGAAGTTGGTAGGAAGATGTGGAGAATATAGGAGGAATAGTAGAGAGAAGGAGAAAAGAAGTGAGGGGAAGAGTGGGAAAGAGAAAAACACAAGTGAGGAGAGAGAAAGTGAGAAGAAGGAAGGGATTTTTGAGCTTAGCTATACTTATGTTTTGATTTATTCTAGGTATTGAACGATTCATAAGGATATTCATGTTTGTAAAATTACAAAACAAAATACTGTATGGAGGCGTTACAATTACATGGGCAAGATAATGAGTACATTTCTTATCAAGCATTATAGCCTCCTCCTTTGTTTCCCCTTCCCATCCCTTCCCATCCTCCCCTGCACTCTCTCACCCAATACTCCCCCCCCCCCCCCCCAAAGTTGTAAAGTTCGTTTTCAACATAACGACTTGTACATCTCATTGTTGCAATGGGTCCCCTGTATCCCTATTTAAGCAATTTCAAAACAAAGTATTTTAAAGCATGAATTACTTGCATTAAGTAATGGCATACTACATTATTCATCTTCATAAATAACCAACAGTAAAACCAAAACTGCACTAACAAAATAGGAATATAGCAAATACTACACAAATATTACTGATATATTTTTGTGTAGTTAAGTAATATTAAGTTATTATTTATATACCAAGTATTCATAAAAATTTGAGATGATTCTGAATGAGTACAGCTTTAATATGGATGTAAAACGTTTATGAAAGAAACAAAGGAGGAGGCAACAATGTTTGATAAGAAATGTACTCATTACCTTGCTCATGTAACTGTAACCCCTCTGTACAGTATTTTCACAATAAAAAACTTATTAAAAAAAGAAAAATATTGGTGTTGTGTCGCTACCACCTCGACCAGCAAGGAAGACGCGACACCGAACTCTTCTCTCTGCAGTTTATTCAGGACCTTTGAGCAATCTTCTGACCCCAACCCCTGGGAGAATTCCCCACAGCCTTAAGTACCCGCTGGGTAGCCAACCCTGATACGCCACGTGGGAACCACCAATAGGTTCAGGTGTGCGGAAGCAAGCCAGATTCTTTGCCTTAGCCATATAAGGAGTTGTTTACCACAGAGAGCACTGGCCATCGGGAAGGCAGAGGGCGGAAGCCGGCGCCATCTTCCAGGTGCGGCTGCACGCAGCTCTCTACAGTGTTGTTTCAAATAATAAAGAAAAAATTCAGTACCTGTACTAGTTGGTGAGTTTATTTCTTGTCTGATGTTTCTCCCTGGTTGGCTTCCAGTTCTTGAAGTCTCTCTCTGTGGTTCTAATATGTCACGATATTTAGACACCATCAGGACAGATATGAAGTAAACAACAGCCAGAGCTAAGAACTGTGCCTGCTTACTGTCATCCTGGGTAAAACAAAAAGGAAGTTTGATAATCGCAAATTTTAAAATGTATAAGAAGTATAAGAAATTATTCTTGCTTCCCTTCTTGGAGGCAAAACATGACATTTAAATTTATTAAACCTGATCAAGTACATGTTTGTGTATATATAATTGGTGTGTGCATGTATATATATACATAAAATTACATACATATACTTGATCAGGTTTATATATATTAAATATATAGCATAAATATATGTAATACAACCATATATAATATATAAAATATGTTAAAATATTAGATCATATAAAATAAATATATAAAATTAGTATTTACTAAGTATTGTAAGTATAATATACTTCAAATTTTACTCTCTGAATTATAATTGAAATATATATATAATTGAAATATAATCTGAAAACTTAAAATCTTAATATTTTGCTAAATATGTCACAAAATTTTAGCCCTTGTTCTCTTTACCATTTTCATCCACTACTGCATACAATATGTGTGCTTATAAATATGCACAAATGAACAAAAACACTTACTGGCATGTATTTTAAAGAAATCAAGACTTTTAAATATTATTGAGTAAAATAGGATAAATTATGATTATAAGACAAATAAAATTCTGACATAAGACTACCTGGTTAAGAGATTATAAGTGAATAATGGAGACATATACAACAGGGTGCATAAAATATAAATTTATACAAGCTTAATATGAGCTACAAGCATGATATGATAGCATAAGAAAACATCAATTTAATCTGTGATTTTTATTAACAAAAGAAATACTATCTAATTATTTTGTACCAAAAATTACTTCTAAACAATTACTAATATTTGACACCACTCATTTTTAAAACTCAATGAAAAAATGGAGTTTTTTTTTTTTTTGGTCAGGAAATATCACAATAGTTTGATAAATATGTGTGTGTGTGTGTGTGTGTGTGTGTGTAATGGGTAATCAAGCCATATTAAGTCAAGGAGAGAGTAGTTTAAAAGTGCAAATTACAGGTAGAAAAGATAATTTCATTATTAGTTTGCTTTTCACAAAACACAGTGCACTCTATGCAACTTTGAGCATTCTATTAAAAAAAGAATATATAAACATCTTTTGTAGAAATGATGATAAGGCTATGTCATACAATTTTAATGCCATGCCTAATCTTTTAATACCTTATCTAAGGAACTAAATGTAAATGCTTATGAAGTCTTTTCCATAACCACCTAGGTAAAACTATTCATTTCAGAGCAAAACTGGTAGTAATTAGGGTCCACAAGTTCAAATTAAAATGTAGAGGTGAGTGTGGTATTTCATACATCTAATCCTTGCTAGTCAGGAGACTGGGATGGGGGGATTGTAGTTTTAGAGTAGTAGAAGCTAAAAGTACATGAGGCATCATCTCAGCCAACCTAAGGCTGGGCATGGTGGTACACACCTGACATCCCCACAATAAAGGGCTATAGATAAGAGGAAAGCATATTTTAAAAATAACTAAAGCCCCAATGTCTGTTACTAATTCTGACTGTGTCTTTTGGGCATAATGACATGTTATAATATTATACTATTTTATATCAGTTATAATATTTCCATTCTATAATATCTTATACATTTAAAAGTATTCTTTTCCTGTTTAAAATTAGCATTAAAAAGAATGTTATATTTTGCCAGGTCTAGATTGGAGTCCCAATTATGGTGAGATTCTTAAACATGGTTTCAATATTATAAATATTTTATTTAAAAAAATAGCCTGGAGTACATTAACTATATAAAACAATACAGACTCATTACAGAAAAACTGAAATCACAAAGAAATATAAAAAGGTTAAAATAAAAATCTGTTTACCTAGAAACAGTACCTAGAAACAACTACTGCTTTTATTCAATAAAGGTGTGTATGTGTAAATATATATATATATATATATGTACTCAGTATGCATATCATAATCATTTTCTTGTGTCATCAAATTTCCTTCAAAATATTACAATATTGGCTGTATAATTTTTCTCTCATTTATAATGTCAGTATCAAGATCTATTAAGGCAAAACTATATTATTAGATCTGTACAATGCTTCCCACTTTCCTGTCAGGCTCTCGAATATCTACTACTTAATCATATTATTACATAACTTCGGAATAGAATTGTTGGGTCATAAGACATCAATAAAAATAATAATTTTAACACAACCACATAAAAATATTTTTACACATAAAAGAATTTTAACACACAAACACCATAAAAAGATATACAAATATTTAACCTATTTATGTATATATAACAATAACTGAATAATAGGTATTGTTTACTATACTTTGAAATGCTAGGTATTAGCACTAAAAGATTTTAATTCAATACTGAAAAATATCCATTCTTGTGTTATTCTACATATTTTTATCTACTGAGAATATTTTTTCATGTTAGTTGTCATATACTGCACATTCCCTAACTACTGCTTATTTTTAGTTATATTTTCCTGGTTTTGCTTTCCTGATTAATTTTTTAGTGATTTATTGAAGAGTAATAATTTTTTATTGTCTACTCTTGCCATGTCATATTATTCTATATAACTTAAATGTATCTTAGCCACAACTCAAGTATAGAATATAACATCTAATTTATTGTTACTTGCAGGTTTCAAACATAAACTTTCACTTACATTTCTTCAATCACTAAAATAAGAGAAATACTATCTAAAGTGGCTGATTTTTGTAAGTATATAAAAATACGCAGTCAACACTGAATCTGCTGTAAAATATTTCATGTTTTTTCATAAAATTTCTGAGAAAGCTTATCTTATTTTTAATTTCCTTGAGTAGATGACCATGTGACTGGAGAGTCACAATCTCTTTAAACTATCTCTGACCTTATACTTTACCAAGTTTTCTAGTTCAAATTTCCTTATTTTCTTTATTTCCCTTACGTATATATTTTCTTTGAAAAATAATTTATCTTCCCCCAAATTAATTATTAATAGCATCTAATTATAACTAACATCTAACATTAGTATTAGCAAAATGTTCAAGACGTTTTCAGAGTTTAAACAAAAATGTTTTGAACAAAACACTGAAGATGGAGTAAGAATACAAGAGGAAGGGAGAAAGGGAGAATTCTGTTTTTTAATGGCTATCCTTACTCTTGGAAAACAAACAAGATACAAGAAATTTTCACATCATTTTTATTATTAGCAAGCTTCTGGAGAAAGGTAAGAGTCAGCAGTTTTAAAATTAGAAATACACAATAAACACCCAGAAACCAGGTCATTTATTTTTAATATGCATAGTACTTGTAAAATTTATATTATTTTGGAGAAAAAAAGAGACATAACTTACCACATCTCGAAAGACCACAGCACGAAGGCGATTAATATCAACATCCTGAAGAAGTCTATCAGGATCCTTAATAGGAGAAAGATTACCTGGAACATTTTCTAAGGGAGTCTTAAAAAAGGGAAAGAGACAGAGAAAGAATTGTGAGGAAATAACATATTCCAGAAAATTACATGGAATTATTATCTTTTTTAATTGTCCTTCCAGCTTATATCAAACTGGACAAACCACTGAACTCCTCTTCATCAACACTCTATTACAAGTATATTATTTTCTCTTTTCCTCACATTATGGTATGTCTTCTCATAGTTCTTCTCCTTGTCAGCTTAAGTAAACTAAGGATTTATAAAGGCAGGTAAGACTGGCAGGAAAAGACTGATTTCTATTATAAGAGGTCTATACTCCAGTCTCTTACTATTCACTTTGTACTTGTTACTAAAATTCCCTGAGCCTCATTTTCACTGCCTCTAGTTAATAAATGTGTTTATATTTGTGGATTCATTTTTAATCATGTTTTATACTATTTGAAACTATTATACTAATATGTAGAATTTAATATATGTAAATGTTCTATAAAAATTAATAAAGGTCATCTATGAAAAATATCCTCAGCCCATTAAAGCTGAAAGACATTAAAGAACATGACCATGAAAACTTTTTATAGTTGAGAAAAGGAAATTCTACACATTTTAGATGATATATTTCACATGATAATTAGTGAGCCAAGGTCACTAAAACTCAATCTAGCATTTTTTCACTTATGTAGTAACTAGTTAAGAAATGTGTAGATTAGGCATCAATGACTGAAACCTATAATCCTAGCTACTCAGGAGAGTGAGAGCTGAAGATCTTGGCTCAAAGCCAGCCCTAGCAAAACACCAAATCCAAGGAACACTTATCTTCATTCAACCAACAAAAAGACGGAAGTAGAAGTATGGCTCAAGATGTAGAACACCAATCTTGAGCAAAATAAACTAAGAGTGTGAGGCCCTGAGTTCAAGTCCCAGGACCAGCATTTAAAAACAAAAACAAATTATATAGTTTAACCTTGAAAGTATATATAATATGTCAAATAAGTTTTTATATATAACATGTACATACTTCATGATATTTCACTAAATCACTAAATAAAATTGGTTACTTCTTTGGCAGCATAGGAAAGTAAAGAAGATGGTATTTGAAGGTTGTTTGCTATTTGCTTCTGATTACAATCTTAAAACTTACAAATTCTTGAGCTTACAAACTCTATGATCAAACTAAGGTAGGTTAGCTAAACCATAGGCTAACAATATTTATCACAGGATGATTAAAGATAGCAGCATAATTTATAGCCTAAATTTATAGCACACATGAAAAAAAAACTAGAAAAACCTGATTTTTATATACTATTTTACATTTTACAAGACTATCTTAATTTAATTTGATCCTTATAAAAATGATCAGATGGGAGCAGCTTGTCTATGACTCCTGTTCACAACGGGAAAATGAGTCTTTAATAAGGTATGATATGCATACATCCAAGATAAGTGGCAAGAACCTTTTTCTACTATACTAAACAAATGAACTATGGTTTATTTACTAGATTGCCACATAAGAAACACACAGACACAGAGAGTTTAAAAGTAAACATAAAAACAACTACTTGGACGCAATTATTTTCAGTCATGAAATGTGTTGTTACTAAATCAAATGTTCCCTTATTATTGCTGTATCTATCACTTATTTACTTTCCCTGACAAGTCCCTCACTAGAGACAGACATAGTAGCTCAACTAAATTACTATAAATGTCTTTCTCGCTGGGCTTTTCTGTCCACATTTTACAATCATAGCAATAGCTGGCTTGAAAATCTTGAGAAGCTCCCTATTATCTATTAAATACTGACAACTTTGAGATCTAAGCTCTCTTAAATTCTATTTATTTATTCATTTCATGAGGATAAACTGCTAGAGAGGGGAAAATGTCAGTGTTAATTCAATGTTCCCTGTATCCCAAGAATTACTGCAATATTATTTTTAATGTAATCGATAAAAAAATCATATAACATAGTATTAGCATCCATTTAAAGACTGGAAATCTGAGGTATAGAAGACCAGGGAATTTGTCTCAGATCACAACAACAGTAAGTGATGGAGCCAGAATACCACTTCAGAACTGCAGGTTTCCATACCAGACTCAAAGTGTTCAAAATGTTCTGGAGTTACAAAGATGTTAATTTACAGTCTACTATGTCTACCACAGCTAACATGTAGCAGAAGAATGACAGAGTCCTATTTAATTTACCAAGCAATGGAGAGCCTTGTTCAGTCTTGTTAGCAGTAAAATAATACAAGGTCAAATTACTTGGTGAAATAGAACAGTGGCTACAATACTGAACATAACGACATTTAACTACATGGAGTTTGTGGTTGGTCTGCTTGAAAACTGAATAATCGTAAAGCTATAAAACCTGTAAAAGCTATTAAACTTCTATTTTATGATTTCATTTATTGAGTTAAAAATTATTGTCTATATTTAATACTTAATTTCCAGTGTAGTAAGGAAATGGAAAGACATACAGGGTGTTAGGAAACCAAGTACCCAAGACTGGAATGATGGTGAGAGTGTGAGCAAACATTTCCCTGAGGAAAGTATTTAAGCTAACTAAATCGAAGAATTAGACAACTTTTAACTGGGGAAAAAATAAGGATGAGAATTTCAAGGAGAGGAAACTACATAAGAATCTAAGAAGTTAAAAATTCTTTTGATGAGCTAAATACAGTCTACACACAAGCTATAGCCGAAGTAAAAATGACCAATTATGAGAAACTCTGAAAGTCATGTTAGTAAAACTTCATGATGCTAAGGTTCAGGAAAACATGTAATAAAGAGAGCAAATTTAGAATGAGCACTCGTAGTATATTCTGAAATGTTCAACAGTATTAATTTAGTTGATAAGCATTCAGGTAATTTTTGTTAACTATTATGTCTATCACCAAAAATCTATCTACTTCAAAAGTCCACTACTTACACATTGAACTCTAAAATATATGTAATATTAAAAACAGAAATAACTAAAAAAAATACTGCTATGTGATATAAGAACCCTAGGAAGTAGAAATTAGTTTCTTCATTCAATAACCCATAAATGCAAATCACAGAGATATTAAAATTTTTGGTAACATAATTACAGAGCAGAAAGCCAGAAGCAGAGCCTGGAGCTTCTGATTACAGATACTACATTGCTTTGTTCTCCTAAACAAAAATAAAACCTTTACAAAGAAAATTACTATTACCTTGGATGCAGTGGTGGCAGTCACACTTTGGGAAACTTCCTGAGGTTTACTGCTTCCATGGGAAGATTTGTTTCCCCTGTCTCTCTGTCTTTGTCGACATTCTAAACAGTTTCTCACAGCTACACAGCAGACTGTAAAATATCAAAAACATACTATTACTATAAATTGTTACTGTGATGTATTGAAAAACCTTACTAATTAATTTCCTTAAAAATGTCTCCCCCTTTCATCTACCCATTATTCTAAAAATCAATCACATTAATAATTATTTTAATTATGAAAAATAATGAAAGCATAATACATAGCATGTAGTAAAAGAAATGAAAGCAAGACATATAAACTGCCAGTCATGTGAAGCAGCAGCTTTTTTTTGTACCAAGGATTGAACTCTGCCTCATAATTGAGTCACAGACACTCCTAGCACTTTTTGCTTTTAGTTTACTTTTCAGTACCCCACCTTCCCCGCTTCCCCATTTCTACATAGCTCACAATATACAGGTACTATCCAACTTACTGATTGAGATGAGGTCTAGCTGAACATTTGCCAAGGCTGCTCTCAAACTGTGATCTTTCTGATCTCAGACATCTCAGTAGTTAGAAGAGGTGGGATTATAGCTACCATACCCAGTCCTCAGCCCATTTGGTTCTTTTGTCAGCACTTGGATTTGAACTCAGGGCTTTATATATCCCTTAGTTTGTTGCTTGATTTATGGTCTTCCATTTGAGCCTTTCTTCCATCTCAAGCTGGCCTTCTGCTGGTGATTTTGCAGCACTTCTCACTCTGATGCCAAAGCTCATCAATTTATTTGGGGGGGGGGGAATAGGTTCTCACTGAGTTTGTCTGGCCAACCCTCAAAGCATGATCCTCCCATCTCCACCTTTCCACATAGAAGAGGTTACAGGCATGTTACTGCTGTGTCAATCCTACCAGAACCTTTGGAACTTCCAATATAACCTATTATTGTATTACCCTCCATCCATCACAATTCCAATTTTTATTTATTTATTTATTTATTGGGTCTGGTCCTGGGGCCTGAACTCTGGGCGTGGGCGCTGTCCCTCAGCTCTTCAGCTCAAGGCTAACATTCTACCACTTGGGACACAGAGCCACTTCTGGCTTTTTTCTTTTTCTCCTTATGTGATGCTGAGGAATTGAACCCAGGGCCTCATGCATTCTAGGCAAGAGGTCTACCACTGAGCCACCTTCCCATACACAATTCCAAATTTTATGGATCATTTATGAAAGTGTTCAACAAATTAAAACTCACATGTCATAGTTTTCTTTCTTTCTTTCTTTCTTTTTTGGTCAGTCATGGGGATAACACTGGAGATATATTCTTGCCTTGGCTTTGAACAGCAATCCTCAGACCTCAGATTCCTGAGTAGCTAGTATTATAGGTATGAACCACTGGTGCCCAGTCAACATATAAAATGACTTTCATTAGGCTATCATAGTAACCATATATATTCAGGTACCAACAGGTTCTAATATTTACAATTCTTTATGGTAAGTGAGTTTATTTGACTTTATCAATAAACTTCTAACATATTCAATTACTTCCAGAAGCAGTGAAGTATTCTCTGTCATCAATAGTAAAGGCTTGACACATAGGTTTGTTGTTGTTGTTGTTTTGACTTGCTGCTGTTGCTGCTGCTGTTCTTTTTGGTGGTATCTGGATTGAATCTTAGCCCTCTTGAATGATAGGAAAGTGTTTTGCCACTGGGCTGTACTCCCAATTCAATACTGAAGCATTTAAAGTCAGGCCAAAGGAACTTAAATCCTGGCTCTGGCATGTCAGAACTTATGGCTACCTCAAATACCTGTCTCCTCATATGTATATGTGATTACAAAAATGATGACGTCACGCATATTTGTTGTTATCCTTAATAGACTTACCAAGTCTTAGGCACTGGCGCATTAAACCTCCAGAGGACATGTTTTTTTCAGCTTCAATCTCACTGAAATTTAGAGAACTGGCAAACACAAGGACATCAACCATAGCCATCAGTCGGCTGAGGAAAGTTACTGCTGTCTCTGCTGACATGCCTTGAGTTACTTCAATATTTTCCAATTCCGTCTTTAAGAAAGTAGAAGATTTAAGCCTTGATTAAAATTGGAAAATATAATACATGTAACACATAATACAGCTGAACAGTTTAGCAATAGTTAATAGTACAAGTGACAAATTAATACCGTAGTTTAACAGACTATGTCAAATCAAAAATGGTAGTCTACCTTTCAACTATTCTTGAATACTGAAAGAGACTTTTAAAACCATCAATGTTGATTTTAAATGTCATCAGTTGTTTTATAAAATGTATGTTGAAAGGTGTGACACTGATCAAGACATATTGTATTCATAACTACAATTTCTTTGTACAACAACAAAAAACAGGACTATTTGGTAAAGTTATGAAGGAATAACTATACATGAGCACTTTAAATAGTTTTATCTTATTAAAATTTATAAAATCATGAAGTTGACATTCCTTTCCAAAATACTTTTCTCATTTATATTTTTCTTCTGAATACAGAAAATAAACAAAAGAAAGGTAGCATTTTTTGGCATCACAATGAGATGGCCTCCAAATTGAAATGTATATTAATTCCTTCTTTTCTAGATTCAAAGCTAGGACTCAACTCAGTACCTGATGCTTTTGCTCAATGGCTAGCACTCTACCAATTGAGACATGTCTCAAGCTCAACACTAATTCTTATGCATTTTAGAAAACACTGAAACCACTAGGTACTGCATATGTACAATAAAACTCTAGGGTAATGATGATCAAGATCATCAATTCCTAAATACTTAGTTAGTGGCCCATAACTCATTGGCAATAATATAAAAACACTCATATATGAAAACTTTCACTAAAACATTCTCTATAAAAATACATAATTTCTCACCTTCAGAGACAAAAGTATTCTGCTTCCTAAATGTGTAACTTTGTAGCTTTATAAGCAAAGGTAACATTCCTCCTTTTACTTTTCATTATGTAATATGTAGCATTTTAATGATTTCGTTTCTTACAAGGAGGGTTCATTTTCTCAATGCCAGAATGACAGAAAAGTAAGGAATACTTTATTAATAAAAATATTTACTGGTTAAACTTTCTGAAAATGTGCACACTCATCAAAGAGATTATCCTTACCTCTTCACTAACTGATATATTTACTAAAAGAAGAGCAGATATAATGGATTGCTCTTCCTACTTAAAATTCCATTCTGACACTGTTTATACTCATCACCCTACCCAAACTTGTTCTTGCTTGGAAGAAGTAGGAACATTAACATGCACATATCTGGGGAAAACACTTCATTAGTTTATGGTTTTTTTCTAAAGTTGGGTTGGAGTATACAGTTCTAACCTTCAAAATGTTCTTCTATTCTGAGTGAATTACAAACAGAATATTATGAAGAAAATTATTTATATGATTTGACAAAGTGTTATGTAGGATAAAAATGATTTTAAGCTAACAGACATTCTTAACAGAAATAACCTAAAAGAAAATTCTTAGTATGTTATGTATAAGAATAAATTACAAATATAATGAGTATTATATAAGCATCTTATGATATGGTTTAAAAATAAAAATTACTTACATACAATTATCATTCAACCATTTTTAAAAATGTCAAAAGCTGATCACACATCTGACTATAATCTTTTTTCATTATACTTGATAATTTCATTATTATTTAGAATAATAAAATGCCAATTCATTAATGCCTTGGAAAAAAATTATTTTAACAAATCTTTAAAATATATAAAAGATATGCCTGATGTTAAAGATGATATGGAAACTCAAAATAACCAAGTCAAAAATTTCATAAGTAAGTAAAAATGAAATTTAAAACTAAAAACCTAAAAATTACTCAGAAGTAATACTAACCTTAGAACCCTGGACATGCATTAGACAAAACAGACAACAGACCAAAAAAGTACAAGAAAAGAAAATTATTAAAATTAAATGAAAATACATGTAAAATTGAAACACAAAATATATTTAGAATCATATTTGATTACTTTGTTAAAAGTAAAATTCTCAGAAGAGAAATTCAGAACTAATATGATTAAATACTTTGAGTAACAGCAAATAATATATGTAAGTACAGTTCATATATAGAAAATTACACATGTGCTATTTTATAAAACAATTGTCTTTTTGAATAGACGATTAATATACCATTTTAACAAATTAATGGGGTTCCTTTGCAAAAATTCTATCTGTACTGATGTAATCAGAAATGATTCAGGGAAATGAACTACTTATACCAACATTCTAGAGTTTGCTATAAAGCAATCATATTATAATTTATTAAAACATTCAGAAACCTTCTTATAACTCAAAGTTGAAATATTTATGTGATTAAAACATAAAAATTATTTTTACTGATATACTATATGTTTTATGTACAATTATATGTTATACTAAGTTTCAGAGTATAATTAAATCAAAAACTATACTCATATAAAAAGAAATTTACAAAGGACTAAGTTTCACAATTAACAGTCACCAACCATTCCTGTTCTTTGCTTTGTGCCATATATACATTTATACATGGGAATATAAATATGCAAACATACTATTTTTATGACACACTCACTAGAAAATAGAAAAGCATCTGGAAAACTTAAAGCATAACCATTGCCATAAGACAGATATATATCCTACTAAATTTAGATTCTGTCATTGCTTTTAGACAGGAAAAGCTTGCTTTTTTAAAAAAATCATGCAATAACTAGGAGAACCACAAATGCCAGTTTCATTATTGTCCTAGGAGAGAGAAAATTAGATTACATTTAAAACTGAATCCAATTCTGAATATTCAGTGTTCTCCATGTTAAGTTGGCCATTTTTAACACAATAAAATCAGTAAGTGAATTTGTGGTTGATCCATGATCTTTGTTTTTATTGATTTTCGTTCATCCAATTCTCTACTTTGATTCATGAACAACTTGAACAATGTGGCAGAAATAAATAATATGCACTGAAAAAGTTAACAAGGAAAATAATATTGTTTCCTCAAACCAAAGATTCACCAAATCACATAGCAAGTGACATTATTATTCCTGAGTACTAAAAAGAGCTGATTAATTTTTTAAAAAGTACTTTTATTATCTATTTTCTTTGTAACATGATTTTAAATAATATAAAATAATAAATAAAATACGATTTAAAATAATCTACGCAAACTCAAACCTCAAAATAGTGCTGCTTCTTCAGGAATATTAAATTTAGAGTATTCTGTATCAACATAAACAAGACATTGCCAGTCTTCTGTTCTTAATGTTTGTACTGACATATCCCCTTACAAGTAATATTAAGCTGAAAAGCTGAAATTTTTCTTCTAGGAAAATATACTGCAATATACAAATTTTATACCCAGTAGAGATATTTATTCATCTTTGGTTCTGGGGAAGCAAACAGAACCTTCTGTGGCTAGTCCCATATAAGGAGAAGACACAAAGAGTGTATCATTTTTGTTTTTTGTTACCAAAAAGATCACCCATGATAACTAAATATGTCTCAAATATTTTTAACTTCTAAGTTCTGACTATGACAGGCCTACTTTATAAATAGAAAAATGTTCTATCATTATATAAAATAAAACCAAAAGAAATCAAATGGTTCCAAAGAGTGACACAAGAAAGGAAACTTTCAGAGGTATCCTCACCCAATGCATGTTACAAGTATTACCTAACTTAATTTTCACAAACTATAAAATATAACTAACATCCCTTTTCAAATAAAGAAACGAAGTTTGAGGACAAGCAGAAAACTATAAAGGTCAGGTTAAAATATAGATTTGTCTCATATACTTTGTGTTAACGCACAATTTCATATGTGCACCTTACTGATATTGAGAATCACATTTGTTTATGTAAAGTACACAATTGTTTACAATAGCTTCGGGGAATGAAAAAGGCATAGTCTTGGGTTGAGCTTCAAGATATCACTTTTTAAATATTTAGTTTTCTATTTATCTTTCCAAAATTTAACACATTTCAACAAAAATATATCAAATTACAAAAAAATGTGCATGGCTGAGTAGAAAAACTTAAAAGATTTTAAAGAGATTACTACAATATTTAGTAATTATTTTCAAAGTTCAACTTTAACAAATGGCTAGTAAATCAATCAAATTCAATTTCTATTTGTTTGTTGTCTTGTTTTTCCTTTGCCAATATGGGGCTTTGAACATAATGCTTTGTGCTCTTACTAGGCTTGCTTGTTCACAGCTATTGCTCTACTAGTGAGCCACCCCTTCAGTTCAGCATTTTGTTGGTTAATTGGAGATGAAGTCTCCCAGAATATTCTGACCAGGCTGGCTTTAAGCAGTGAGATTCAAGGTCTTACTGTCCTGAGGAATTTAGATTACAGCTATAAGATACCAGAACCCAGCGTCAAGTTCTTATTAGTAGAAAAAAGTTTACCTTAAATTCTAAGCAATGTTTTTTGTACAGTCATCATAAGCAATAAAGTTTTCATTATACATCATTCTATTATGGAATTGTTGTTTTATGTGGAGGTCATACCCTGTGTCAGTATTTAATAGACTAGACCATGGGATAAGTCTGCTCCACTAGGCAGTCAATAAAAAGAGTACAGTTTTACTAAAATGGGCACATGCCTATTTATTTATGCGCCACAGCTGCTTTTCTACTGTACCTGCAGAGTTAAGTAACCAGATAGACACCATATGGCCCACAGAATGTAAATACTGACTATCTATCTACACATAGAGAGTTCGATCAATACTGCCATAATCATCATTAAACCCATTTATTCATAAAGTACCTATCTATACATGACATAAAAATTTGAAAAATTCCTTATAATCAATCAAAATTACCAGAACTCAAGAATTTGTTTCAAATTCTAATGGTAGTTATAAGATAATGTGCCTTTCTGTTCACCTGTATGTTGTCAATGTTGTCAACTTTTTCTTTTATCACTTCCAAACTCTTCTTGCCTTTTTATATTTTAAATAAAAGTTCAAAAGTCCACATTTATTTTCAGCTTTAATTTTTTCTTTATTCTCTTTCTCTCTTTCTATGTGTTGTCTTTCTTTTTTGGGGGGGGTACTGCTGAAATTTGAACTCAAGGTTGCTTCCTTCCCTCCCTCCCTTCCTTCCTTCCTTCCTTCCTTCCCTCCCTCCCTCCTTTCCTTACTTCCTTCTTTCCTTCCTCCCTCCCTCCCTTCCTTTCCTTCCTTCCTTTTTTGGGTATTACTGAGACTTGAACTCAGATTGTGCTCATCCAGCTTGCTAGACTGGTGATTTACTGTCTAAGGTATGCCTTCAGCTTTTTTCTGGTTATTCTGGAGATAGTGTCTCATGGATATGTGTGCCCATGCTAGTCCCAAGCTGGTATCCTCTAGATCTCAGCCTCAGGTAGGGCTATATGTACAGGAATGAACCTCAGGCATCTGGCTTGGCTGTTTCTTTTAAAGAAGCAGCATGTTAAAGAATAGAAAAATCAGGTGTGTTATACCAGCAGGCATAGGCATAATCAGTTAATGAACTGACATAACTGATAATACAGAAACACAATAAACAAAAGTTTCTATAGTTGAGTGAATTCTCAAAGTGTAAGTAGTTTCAAATCAAACTACAGGAGTCAAAATTGCATAGGTAATTTTAGGAGCCAAAATTTTAAAATGCCAGCACATTCATTATATCGTATTAGAAAAGTAACAAAATATGGGTAGTAAAATAGTACATAAGTTTATAATTCACCTCATTAATTTAATTTTAATAGTAGAGATCTTTTGACTTTATAAAGTTTAGAATATCACTTAGTGATGTGGACATTTCAAAATTGTTCAAATTATAATAACTAATGTTACGTATTTCATATGAAGGTAATTTTATTCTATATAAAAATTTAAAATCTTTAGTATTTTAAAGTGAATTTTAATACAACCTTTAACAATTTCTTGACAACAAATGAAAACTTTAAAATGTAAAATTTCTGTAAAGAAAATAGTCACATGGAAAACATTGATACAGTATTTAAAAGAAAAATAAAAGAGCCTTCCCTGTCTTAATCTTAGAATAGTTTAAAACTATAGTTGAATTTGGTATAAATTACCAAAGGAGAACTGAGATTAAAGAGAAAAGATGGCATATGAGTCTCAGGATACTTGTACTCTTCATATGTCATCCACTATTCATATTGCTCTTCTCAGGTCTATTAGCTGGCTAATTCCATAATGGCCTTAATGTTCTACATCCTCCTAAATCAGCTTGCTTGACTTTTAGACATAATTTTTTTTTAGGTTTTGTGACTTTTTAAATATTTTTTATTGTAAAAATACTGTACAGAAGGGTTACAGTTACATGAGCAAGATAATGAGGACATTTCCTATCAAGCATTGTTATCTCCTTCTTTGTTTTTCCCCTACCATCTGGTCCCTCCCACCTCCAGAACTACACTCCCCCCCACCCCCCCTTCCCCACATAAATTGTAAAGTTCCTGTCTTGTACATCTACCCTATCCAAGTAGCCAAAGAGTGTAGATTATTTTTCCTACCTGTACTGAATTGGTGAGGGTTTGTCATTAGCAGTTGCTCTTTCCTGACCCAATATAAATTCTCTAGAATTTATTTGTAAGTTTGACTCATGAAAATTTTTATTATTGAATTCAGTGTTGTAATCTAACAAGCATTTGTTCAGCACTCTCACACACACACACACAAAACAAAAACGTTTACTGTTGCACTCAAAGAACTGATAATCAGAGTGAAATACATTTGTAAGTCTATAGAGACTTTTAGTTTTCTCTAGTGAAAATTACTATGTGGATTGTGGATAGAAAGTTCTATATGTATAGACAAAAATATTTCAAGCTTCACTTCTGCTCTGGTCAAAGTAGTGACAAAACCAGTGGGGAAAATAGCCAAGTGGAAATAGCTTGTTAAAGATGAAATAAATCAGCAATCAATTTGAAAATAACCATAATAAACAATAACTATCTTAAGAAACTGACAAATGTTGGATGGCTTTCCAATATGATAAATCATATAGGGAGTACAGTTCTATATTATTTCTCAGTAAGCAATAGTTATGGAGTCTTATTTTTGCTGTAAATCAAAGCTATAATTATTTTATTATGTTGCTGGGGATTAAACCTATGACTTTACAAATGCTAGGCAAGTGCTCTCCTACTCATCTACACATATTCCCAGCTCTGAATCAAAAATATTTTAAAGTGACAACTAATACAATAAAATTAATATTGATCTATTATATTTTAAATGACATATATAGTCAACCTGTTTTTCAAATTTGTTCTATTAATACACTGCAATGTTTTATAAAGAAACACATGGGAGCTGGACTTCTTAATGTTGATTTAGTACAGAATACAAGACAAAAATATTGCATAAGGATTTTAACAGCTTACATCATAAGGTATACAAAATAAATATAAACTGTTCCTACTTGTGCCTCTTCCAAAATAACATGCATAGGGATTATCTGAAAATATTTTCATAAATATATAGAGATATATGAAATAAATGAGAATGGACTAAGAATTAAAATGGCTAAAACCATTAGAAGAACATATTTTGTTAAAATCTATAGTATCTGACACTACTAAATGTTCAATTCTTGTAATTACACAATCATACCACTAGATGGAGACAAAGTACTTACAGTTGGTGATGTAGCAGCAGAAAGAAGAGGTAAAATTCCACCACAAGCGATGATGATGTTGTCTACCATTTGGGAAATGAGGTGAATTGTGTTATGTACAAAAATAATGTTTTCATTGCTATTAACAAAATCCATTACAGACTTTGTAGAATGGCTAAAAAAGATAAAGCACAAATTAACATTTCTTTAGTTTAAGAATAAGATATTTTAGAGTAATATTTTTAACTAAAAATGAATTTATGACTATTGAGGACCTAAAGAAATTTAGAACAAATCAGAAAATGATTTAAAACTTTTTACATTATCAAAACTGAATTATGTACAAAAATAATGTTTTCACTACTATTAACAAAATCCATTACAGACTTAAAAAGAGAAACTACAAATCAACATTTTCTTAGTTGAAGAATAAGATGCTCAATAGGAAATGCATTCATTACCTTACTCATGTGACTGTAACCTCTTTGTACAGTATCTTTACAATAAAAATTTAAAGATACTTTATTTTGAGTAATATTTTAACTAAAAATTAATTTCAGACTACCGAGATAACCTAAAGAAATTTAAAACTATTTAGAAACTAACACTTTTTACATTATCAACACAGAGCATTTATAAGGGTTTTGTGTTTAAGTGTATAAGCAAATATAGTAGTAACTAGATTGTTAACATGTGACTAGGTCAATGGATTTAACTAAAAATACAGATTTTTGCAACATCTGTTTGTTCTGTTGTGAAAGGCAAAGCAATGTCATTGGTAACTGAAAGCTTTGCCTTTTAGGAACTTTCAATTTCTCCCAACATCTGACCGTAGCCTGACTTTTCACCAGTCATGTTAAAAAAATACACTGTCCAAAAAATGACAGGATGAGAAAATAAATAAATTCAAAGATATATTGAGTAATAAAAGGAAGAGCTCAAAGTAGGTGAAAAGTATGGTTTTATCATAGAAAACATGCAATGTAAATGGCCAAAGAAAAGTATTTTGCTTTAGTTTGTGTCAGTCAGAATGTGAACTGTTTCTAATTGAAAAAAATGCAAAAATAGTGAACTAAAAATATTACCTATTATAGTTTGGATTTTGGAATGTTTTCCCCATGTTCTAGGAATAAAGACTAGCTTAAATACTTTTTTAATTACATAAAATTCTACCTGGGGAAGCTTTATGAGTATACATGAAAATCACAAACAAAGGCAATTTGTTAGTGGAAGGTAATGTCACTGGCTCCTAACAGTGTAATTAGTATATTACATGTTTTCTCCCCACATATGGATTCTCTTGTTAACAGTAATATATCTCAGGGTACTTCACTTTCCTTAACTCTCATCAGGTAATTCAGCATATGACAACATTAGCAAGAAAAAAAGTATGACCAGCCTAAGAAGAAACTGATCACAAAATCAAAAGCAAAACTATTTTTACTGCAGACGCTATCTACTGCTTCCACAGTAGTAGGACTTCTTTCCTACTAAGACAGTCTAGATTTTACTCACAATTGAGCTCTGCTAGGAGGAGGAAACTTTGGCCTCATCTCAGCTATTGGGTTATCAGCCACTATTTATTATTGTGTTTTGTAGGTGACTTAGAAATGAACTTGTGATCCTATAGGGGAAATTTCCTGAGAGTCTTTTATAGAATAAAAGTAGGTGAAAAGAAAAAAGGAAAAATAAGTGTAAAAGAAGGAAATGAGGAAGATAAAAAAGGGAGATAGGGAGGAAGAGAGGGATGGAGGGATTAAGGAAGGGAAGAAAGGAAGGAAGGAAGGGTTCCTGCCTTTTAATGTGGTGGTTTCTTATGTTGAACTGATACTGGGAGATGAAGCTTCCACCTTAAATCCTCAAATAAAATTGGGAAAAGCAGAAACTAGCATGAGGCCTGAGAACATCATGCTGTTAAGTTGCCCATGGCTGAGGTACTTTGTTATAGTCATCAACTTACTAACTTATATACATTTAAATGTAAATGATACACTAACTAACAGTGAATTATTTGCATAATTGCTATTAGAAAACTGAACTGATGCCTAGGCAAGCTTGAGGACTGAGTTCAACACCCAAGTACTGCAAAACAACAACAATAACAAAAACCCTAAATTGAAAATTAGAAAATATCATTACTTAATAACCCAGATGCCCCTCAGTAGATGAATGGATCAAGAAAATGTGGTATATATACACAATGGAATTCTATGCCTCCATCAGAAAGAATGACATTGCCCCATTTGTTAGGAAATGGAAAGGCTTGGAAAAAATTATATTAAGTGAAGTAAGCCAGGCCCAAAGAAACATAGGTCCCATGGTTTCTCTTATTTGCCATATCTAGTATATGTATGAGTCAAGCAGAAAAGGTCAGATAATGTGATGTCAGGAAAATGAACCCTTACATATGTATTTTAATGTTTTTTTTTTCATGCATGTGTTTCTAACACATTTATAAGATTTATCTCTTTGTTGCTTTGTATGTCCCTCCCCCACAGTATAACCTCTGCTTTCACTATATTTGATGTCAGTATAACTTGTGGAGGAGGTGGGGAAAAACCAGTTGTTTAAGGATACAGGTGGACCTGTTGCAAAAAACGAGCTTTACAACGTCGGTGTGGGGCGGGGGGGGATGGGGGGGAAGGAGAAGGATTGGGATTGGGGGGGAGGGGGGAGGCTGGGAAGGGATGTGAAGGGTAAACCAATGGAGGAGGCTGCAATGCTGGGTAAGAAATGTATGCATTATCCTGCCCATGTAATTGTAACCCCTCTGTACAGTATGTTCACAAATAAAGTAAATAAAATTAAAAAAATACTTGTAGACTTGTTTTCATTGATTATATTTGAATGAACATCCACTATGGTTTAAATGGCACAGACTTTAAAACCATATATAAATATATATATAGAGAGAGAGAGAGAGAGAAAGAAAGAGAGAGAGAGAGGGATGTTTATTAAATTTCAGTAAACACTATTAAGAATTTAGGAAATGGTTGAGTTTTCTAATTAAATCTCTTTTAATATAAAACAAACCATGCCAGATATAATTTTGTGTCTTAAGCCTAACAACCTTTCAAAAATTTAAATGTCCAAATATTTCTAGATAACTTAATTGGGCATTTTTATTCAAGGATATAATCAATTAGGAATCAATTAGTTGATGGCAATAAAAAGACTCATATTCTTAAGTGAAACTAATTTTATTTATAGAAAAATGTTATACCTTCTCCAAACATGTACATCTGTTTCTAAAGCAAACAATAAATCAGTGAGAAGTCGCTGGTGCATAGGAGACCATTTAAACTCAGGTATCCGAAACATTGTTGTTCGGGGGCCAGGGCTGAATTGGCGGCGCTGCTCCTCAGTCATGGGCATTCCTCGAAATCCTAAGTCAACTCTGAGATCTCGGTCTTGTTGGGTGATAGACCGACCCTGAACAGCCTAAAGAAAGAAAAAGTAAAGTTTGTGGAGTGCAACAAAAGTCTGACTTAAAAACAATAAGGATAAATGAAGTGAGTAAGTAACACTTTAACATAGGATTTCAGTAGGTTAATATATTTAAAATATATTTTTCACCTGTCATTCCCTATACAGGAACTTTTTTAAGACAAGAAGGCCAATATGACAGCTTTTATTTTAATATTGAAGAAACTAGTAAAGGTAATCAAAGGTTAACACCAAGTTCACACTGAAAACCAGATGCGTGTGGCCTTGCTATCTGTCTATGATATGACTTCATAACTCCCTCATGAAAGTGAGGATACATGAAATGGAGCACACTGGATATGTCATTAACTAGTTCTTACTATAAACATGTGAGTAGAAGAAATAGGATTTGAACATATTCAAGCTAAATCCAAAGCCTATTTCATTCATAATACTTCAATTAAAATTACAAATGCATTTAAGTTACATAACAAACCAGAAAAAAGTGCTTATACGCTTTCAATAAAAATAAAACGGGCAAGTATAGTGATATATTATGTTCAATAAACAAAGCACCATAATTTCCTTTATTCTAAATTTCTACATAATTTGATATTCCCATCCCCTGACAAATATCATGGTATTACAACTGTCACAAAAAAAATGAAAATGGCAGTTTACAAAGAACAAAATAAAAATATCTTTTCCAAACAGATTATAAAATATTTTTCCTGAAGCACAAAACACTACTAAAGCTCTTATATTTATAATGGAAATGAGTTAACTTTATTTTCAGTGGTTTTAAAGACAGGTTAAAAAAATACCCAGAGGATAACAAAATTCAAATAATTAATGGTGAAGTATTATTATAATTTCTCAAACTCTTAGTCATAAGCTAATATTTAGCTTAACAACCATATCAAAAAACATGTTTTTAGTTTTATTATGTCAGGGCCCAAACTGCAGTACTAACATTTCATAACTAGTAAGCCTAATCTTCACCTTTACCAAATTCCTTTCTACATGTGTAGAAAATTGTCAATGATACTAATTACAAATTTTCTAAGCCATTATTACCTACCTCACAGGGTTGGTGTAAGGATTAAATCTGAACATACACCTAGCACAGTGCCCAAAACACAGAAGGTGCTTGATAAGTAACAGTTCCCTTTTCCCATCCTATTCATTTATCATTTCTACTGGGCTATAAGTCATCTTTTCTATACTCCACAGAATAGCACTGGGCCTGGAAACTTGAAAGAAGGTTAATGAAGAATTCAGGATAAAGATTTCAAGTAAAACAAGTATAAGTGAAGTATGGAGCCATGAAATATTAAGTACTGGAAGAGACCTTAAAGGCCATATTTTTATCTAGTATAATGCTCTGCACTATTTAAAGATCTCAAGCTTCAGAATGGTTGAGCAAAGTTACACAAAATATGTGGCAGAATGAAGATATTATTCAGATACTTTTCATTTCACATACATTTTCCACCATACTACCAAATTGTATAAATACTATTATACATTAAATAAATACAAACATGGTATAATTATTAAGAAATTACTACATTTCACAACTAATAGCTCAGTATACACAGCTAATAATTCAGTATTTTTGCTATTGTTGTTGCTTTGAGACACGGTCTTGCTGTGTAGCCCAGGCTGGCCTGGAACTCAATATATCGTGGCTTTGAACTTGTGATTCTCCTGCCTCAGCCTTCCCAGTGCTCGGTTAACATGCACATGTGCCACCATGACAATCATATTTAATGCTTGTTTATTTACAGAATTCCTATAAGATAGCTTACTTGTGTTGTAGCAGTGGTCTGGATTTTTCGGATTTCCTTTCCTGATTCTTTACCATCATCAGATCTCTCAGTATCTGAAATTATACTTCCTGCATCAATATTTGGTACAACTTTGCTCCCAGAAGACTCAGTTTCCAGTGTTGTAGCAGTCATTTCAGCATATTCTAACCCTTTTGCTGATGATGCTAAGTCTCTTTCAGAAATACTGCTCATCCCATCTGAAGTTGTATGGATTTTGAACTCTTTTTCTTCAATTATACTTGACGTGCAAGTTAAGTCTACACTTCCAGTCATATGAGCAAGCAATCCAAGATCATCACTGACACCAAGATGCACTTGTGTATCCTGAATATTTGGGATGATGTGATTGCTAGAAAGTTCTGGAAGCAGTTTCTCCTCTTGTTTGGGTATTTTATCAAAGAGAAATGATGTAGTGCTATTGGGGAGTTCTTCTTTCTCATCTGCTAAAGTTATCAATGGACCATTATCTTTCTCTTCATTTTTTTTAATGACACCGACACTTCCATGTACATTGTTCTGGAGTTTCTCAACAGCAGCACTATATACATTATCCAACAAAGACTCTACTTCCACAAGGGCACCATTCTCACCGCCCACCAAAGTCTCTGGTGATAAATCCATATCATCAAGCTTGACTTCTGTTGCTTCCACTTTTTCTGCTTTTATATCAACTAGAAGATCATGTACTTCCACATGTACTCCATTTCCAGGTCTATCTGTATTTCCAAGAATATCATCTGATACTTTGGTTGACATGAGTAAATCTCGAGGATCTGTGCTGACAGGGTAATCTGTCTCACTTTCTGGGCTCTGGCTTTGTGAAAGATCTTCTATCTCTCGGATTTCCATTCCTCCCTTGGCTCCTGTTGTCTGTGATGAAAGACCAGATATGGTGCTCACATTCCCTTTTTTCCCCTTTTTAATGTTTTCCTCCTCTTGTCTTTGATATTCTTCATACATTTTGGCAAGGTATTCCTTATGTGCTTCATAAGTGACCTTGAAAATGAAAAATGAAAATTCTAAGGCATTTTGTATATGTCAAGATGAAAAGAATAAATAATACAATAAAATCAAGGTAAAATGAGCAATTATAACAGAATTTTTAAGATCTTCCAATTAGCACGTTAATCCTAAAAAGTGCTTAATTTAAACAAATGTAACCATCAAATAAAGCTATTGGTGATTCATTATTCATTATTGTTCCCAGAACTGCACAGGTAAAGCAGCAGTAATAAAGATTCTTCTTGTTAGGTTAAGTATTTCAATGATACACAAAAATATGACAGCTACCTCCTATATTTTTATTTAAACTTAAATAAGGAACTAGTAAATAATAATATACAATATTCAAGACTTGTAAATTTCATTGTCTATTGTTCATATGTGTACCCATCACAATTACTGTGAAAGGAATTCACATGCTTATATATAAATACATACATTTACAAATGTTAAAAAATTGTATCTTTATATAAGCAACTCTGAATTTGTTATTGCACAGAGACTCATTTAGAACAATCAGATTATATAACTTTTGGATTTGTTTTTACTTTTAAAATTACCTTTAAATAGTTGTGCAAAGAGGTTACAAATTAATATGTCCATTAATGTGTACATGCTTCTTGATCAGTGTCACCATTTCATTATTTTCCAATACCAACTGTCTTCTAAAGTTTCAGTTACATTTTCACATAGTGTATATATTTTTGTACATAGACTTGCAACATCCTCTCCTTTACTATTTTTAAATTTATTAACTGATGTAAATTTTTGATATATTGTAAAATGTACATTTGTAACAGAAACAATTCACTTACAGAAGAAAAAAGTAAATGCCAAAGGTTAGAAGTTAGTAATCAAGAACCAACAGGTCATGTCTGCTTGCCATATATTGTTTGTTTCCTTTTGTTTTTTAATTTTGTGTGCATGTGTGCATACATGCATACACACACATAGTACACACACCAATCCTGGGGCCTGAACTTAGGATTTGGATGCTGTCCCTAAGCTTTTGTGCTTAAGGCTAGTGCTCTGTCACATGAACCACAGCTCCACTGTGGCTTGTTGGTGGTTAACTGGAGATAAGAGACTCATGGACTTTCCTACGAAGGTTGGCATCAATCCTTTATCCTGAGATCTCACCCTTCTGAATAGCTAGGATTACAGAAGTGAGTCATCAGCAACCAGCTTTACCATCTGTTTTGATAAATAAATATTCTACTAAGTTACAACCACAACCATTCGTATGTATGTCCTCTGCCACAGTACACAAGGGAGTGGAGTAGCTCCATGAGAGGCAGTATGGACCACAGAGCATAAAATATTTACTTTCTATCCTCTTCAAATGTTTTTCTAATTCCTGCTAAATGACTAAATGAGATGGGATGAGACAGAATGATGGAAGAATTAACCATGACCAAAAAGCACTGGATACTTAGATGGAAATGTTAAATTATAACTAAATCTTTTGTACAATCTTTGGAGGTTTAGAAAATATAATAAAATGTTAACAATATTCTATGAAGAAAAGACTAATTGAATATCCCCAAATCACAAAACTAAATTGTGATAATAACTAGATTCAAAGCCAAATTTCTGATGCCTATCCTTTCTCTATGATACCACATGGTGAGAAACTCTAGCTCTAAATTTCCAAAGTCAAATGTATGTATACTTACACACTTTAATTGATTACTTAAAGATTTAAAATTAAAATATAGATAGATTCTTAGAATTAAAGAAAATATAAAATAATTAAAATGATCACTGAACAATGTAAACATATTTATGATTTTTACTTAGAAATCAAAACTGACTAAAACTCATCTGAAAAATAATTTCAGAGCTCATTTCATGAATTATTCTTTTTTAGATATTTAATGATTTTCATTTTTTTCTTTTTTTCACTATATTTTTATTGTAAAAATTCTGTGCAGAGGGGTTACAGTTACATGAATAAGGTACTGAGTACATTTCCTATCCAGCATTGTTACCCCCTCCTTTGTTTTTCCCCTACCATCCCTTCCCTCCCTATGTCCCTAACTCCTTTCACCCCCTCCCCGAAATTGTAAAGTTCATTTTCAATATAGTGTCTTGTACATCTCATTGTTACAATGGACTGTTCTTGTAAGAATTAGTTTTAGTTTAAAAGCAATTGGCTCAGAAGAAGTCATAAAATCTGCTAGAGATATAGTGCCTAAATTCCTAATTTATGAACTTTATGTTTAAGAGATCTACAGGATTCTTTCAAGCTCTAACCATCTATCAATGTGGTTGAATAAACAGAAAATGTTTAGATCTAAGAATTTGCTGTTATAACTTACTATGTCCACAAGATGGCACCAGATGAGGGATTATAGCCATTTAATCCATTGTTAAAACCTCAATGATATAAAATGTTAAAATATAAATTTCTATTACCTTCGAATGGGCTATTGAGAGTGTATCCACCCAGACTCTCCAGCCTCCCCATTCGTATTTTATTGCATGATACAAAAGAATTCGGAAGATATTGTAGACCATCTCAGTAATCTTCTGCTCCTCAGAATTTTTAGGATTAATGTAGCCAAGAGAAAACATCCAATCCTGCCATACTGAACACTGCAATAAGCACCTAGGTAGGAAAAAAAATTACCTCAATAAAATAACTGAACTAGAATTTATCATTTTGAAGTCTGCATAAAGTAATAAATATAGATCTTAACTAAGTAATCCATATTCTACCTATTTTCTACATTCTCTACTGAAAAATCTGAATTACAATAATTTTCTAGCACTCCTAATCATATTTTTTATTGATTGTCTACATTCATGTCACATTTAGCACTTGCAATGCCAAAATGTCAAAAATTAATGGTTTATGGTTCTCTTCCATAACAGACTGTACTAAAGCCACCCTGAACTATAAGACTGCCCTGCACACTTCAGTGCTTCCCACCCAACAGAAGTTATTTGTTAAATCAGGCTCAGGAAACAGGTAAGAATTCTTATCTTATATTGTACCTCAAGTTCTAGCTAAGCAGCTTTAACATAGATGGTTAATAGTCATAAGCTAAACAACAGATAGCATAAATGATTTTGTGTAAACCCAAAACAATTACAACTCAAAGTATCACTGTTGGTGATAGATAGGTATTAGGAATAACATAGTTTTTTAGAGAGGTTTGTATGTATGTGTGTATATGTATAGAGAGAGGTAGAGAGATACAGATATGTTCATAGATATAATTAAAATGTCTATTTAAATATATAAAAATAGAATGTTGAATGCAGATTACATAAAAATACAAGTGATTTCTATAATGATTAAAAGTTTCAGCAATATGGGAGACTTGAAATATAATTAGAGATTGAAAATTAAGGAAAGACAAAAACATCATGGAATGAAAGTTCTGTTATTAAAACCTCTATTTACCTTCTGTTTTCACGACTGTTGCTGAAAAGTTTTATCATATCTGATAAAAATAAACGACGAACTTCCATCAGTTCTGCACTTGGTGTAGAGTTTTTTAACAAAGTTGCCACAACTTTAAGAATCACTGTAAATAAAGAAAACAATAAATTGAAGATTTTAACTATATAAGAACTGAAGATATGTATCACATTTGTTAATTTCAATTAATCTTAGAACTATGATAGGGGAGTTATAAGTGTCATGAAATAGGTAAGCACCACAATGAGTTAAGGTATTAGAAAAGTTTGATGTAATCTCTAATGATGGCATGTAACTATCAAATAACAGCAAAGAACTGCCATTACTCACTTGGATTCTGAATTTTCACTGTAGAATCTGGCTCTGGATGTGGTTTATGGACAACCTGAGTACACACTTGCTCTGTTAAGATCTGAAAGACAAAGAATTTAACTTCATTTAGAGAATAATTTTAAAAATTGTATAGATATGTAAAGATCTGAAAGTGCAAATAAAAAGAAACGTTCTTCAAGAAACTTTGTAATGATTCCACATACTGGCAAATGTTTTAAGTCTATAAGCCTCAAATTTTATTTTTAGAAAAAGATAAAACCATACCCAATGTCTACAAAAGATTAAATAATCCATGAATGTATCATGTTTAAAATACCTTTGCAGTGTGGATCTTTGATAGTTGCTTATGCTATGAATTGTATACATCTGATGTCTTGTGTCATTATTAATTTAAAAAATTAGAAAATAAGTAAGGAAAGTATGTCAATAGTAAGGTCCCTACTTAAAACTGAAGTGTGAAAGGATACCCTTTTCCTGAAAATGTGGCTCATTTGTTACTTACTGAGATTTCCTTTTTCATTTTACTTAAGAAAGAAAATAAAGAACAATCTAACCAAGTAAAGACAGAATTTGAAAACTTTTACCAACTTTTCATTAATATATAGGCTAAACAACTACAGGATTTTGTACATCATCTCTGTTACATTCCAGTGATTAGTACTGTTTTTTTTGACACTGACAAGCAATCAATCAGTATCTATTAAATGGCAGAATGGATAAATGAACAATACATAAACAATAGCATCTATGTTTGCTCACTGTATTTTAGATTTTAGCCTACATTTATGTCTACTCTTAAATACATATAAACTCAATGAGGCTTCGTTTCACAAAACTGTCACCTTTGTTCAGTGATTTAATTTGCTATTCAGTTTTAACATCCAGAAGTAGCACTTTTTTCTGCTCAAACTAAAAAGATAGGAAATTTACATATGTGTGTGAGGAGTATAATGTGTTAAGGTATTGAATTGAAATAAAAATATGCTTAATATTAATTAAATGTTAACAGATATAATTACTCCTTATCATCTCATTTCCATACTTTTGTTAAAAACTGAACACACTCTTCAAAAATAAATAGTTCCATCAGGTACTGATGGCTCCACACCTGTAATCCTAGCTAATCAGAAGGCTGAATTCTAAGGATCAGGGTTCAAAGAAAATCTGGCAAGAAACTCTTATCTCCAATTAACCACCAGAAGTCAGAAATGGAGCTGTGTCTCAAGTGGTAGTGTACTAGCCTTGAGCAAAACAGCTCAGGGATAGCAACAAGCCCTGAGTTCATGGCATAAAACTGGCCCAAAAGAAAGAGAGGTACAAAGACAGAGAGAAGAAGGAAGGAAAGAAAGAAGGAAGGAAGGAAGGAAGGAAGGAAGGAAGGAAGGAGGGAGGGAGGGAAGGAAGGAGAGAGGGAGGGAAGGAGGGAGGGAGAGAAGATGGGAGGGAGGGAGCGAGGGAGGGAGGGAGGATAGTGTCAACATTTCTAAAACTAAAAAATGTATTATTAGTCAACTGGAACTAATGTGAGATAAAATTTCTTTGAAAACCATAGCAAAATAATGATTAATTAGGAATTTTTCATACTAGTCTTCCCATAAAAACCAACAAACAGAATCTTAGATAATTTTGGTTATTAATAAGAAACACAAAATAGCTGAAGTCAAGCTGGGAGAAAATCAGATCATATTCCTATATGACAGAATAACTTTGTCCACAAAATAGAGAATAAATTGCATTGCACAGAAAATGACATTTACCTCAAAACATCAGTTTTTATGTTGTCTTTTTAAAATTCTATTTTATCATCTAACAATGAGGGTAATAATTATTGTGCTGATCTAATAAATCTGCTAGAAAGATTAAATAAAGCCCTAAATGTGAAAATGCTTTAAAAAAAAATTACCAGCCTGGCACCAGTGGTTCACGCATGAGCTACTCAGGAAGCTAAGATCTAAGGATTGTGGTTCAAAGCAAGCTCAGGCAGGAAAGTCCATGAGACTCTTATCTCCAATTGATCAGGAGAAAACCAGAAGTGGCACTATGGCTCAAGTGGTAGAGCACTACCCTTGAGCTGAAGAACTCAGGGACAGCATCCAGGTACTGAGTTCAAGACCTACTATCAACAAAAACTATAAAACAAAACTATAACATATTTAAATTGATACAATTTTATACATTATAAAAATATATGCAGAAACGTTGTGTGCACTTAGTAACAACCAGTATGAACCAACACTCTGCTAAGTTTTTGAAGAACGAAAATAAAGTTAATAAATAGAAGTATATTTCTAGCATCATTAACATGAATATGCACTGGCCCTATTAAGTAATAAAATATATAAACTGTCATAAAAACTCTATGTAAGTTTTCTACAAAGAGGAGAGGAATTATGAGGTATATATAAGTAGAGAGTTTAATGAAAGCCTAAGACTCAAGATAAATCTTGAGGTCTTCACTGTTCTTGGTGAGACATATGTACAGAAAAATAACCCCTGCCTTTAACTCAAACAAAATGATTTGGAGGATTCAAAACCAGACATGATCAAGAAATCCAAGGCATATTTAACAGTGACAGGATGTCTCAATTTACAGTAGCCACATTTTGACTGACAGACAAATGGAATCATGATAATTGTATTAGGCTGGGTAAAGAACAATGAATTCTAAGCATAGGGATAACTTTATAATTATTGTATTTGTAGATATAGACTTTATTATACATTTAAATTTTTATTGTGAAAATACTGTACAGAGGGGTTACAATTACATGGGCAAGGTAATGAGTACATATCTTAGCAAGCATTGTTGCCTCCTCCTTTGTTTCCCCTTCCCATCTCCAGTGCCACTTCTCCTGCCCCATCACTGCCCCGCCCTTCTCCCCCCCCCCCAGTGTTGTAAAGTTCGTTTTTTGACATAATGTCTTGTACATCTCATTGTTGCAATGGGTCCACCTGTATTTCTATTTAAACAATTTGTTTTTTCCCTTACCCTCCACAAAGTATACCAACATCAAATACAGTGAAAACAAGGGTTATGCTGTGGGGGAGGGACATACAAAGCAACAAAGAAATAATCTTATAAATATGTTGGAAACAATCCCAAGAAAGAAAAAAAAAACATTTAAATCTTTATCTCGGGGTTCATTTCGCCTAACATCAACTTATCTAACCCTTTCTGCTTGTCTCAGACATATACTAGTTATTGCAAATTAGGGAAACCACGGGACCTCTGTTTCTTTGGGCCTGGCTTACTTCACTTAATTTGCAAAGTAGTAACGAGGTTCCTCAAAAGACTCCACATAGAACTCCCCTATGACCCAGCAATCCCACTTTTGGGCATTTACCCAAATGATCACAAACAAGAACAAAGTAAAGCTACCAGCACAACTATGTTTATTGCAGTATTATTTACCAGAGCTAAATTTTTACTTTATAAATAGAACTACATTAAAATTTATGTGCCATAAACTGAAAATCTTAGGCTAGCTCAGGGGCTATAGTTTTCTTCTAGACCTTATCATGTGTAACACATTTGGAAAAATTAGAAGACAGCAGTTTTTTTCTCATAATATTTTGGCTTCAAGGATAATGAAGATATATTTTACTACTTCATAATTTATTTCATGTTGTTTGACAAGCCCTGCTAAAGCTTGATTTTATTCACATTATCTACTCTTTATCACAACAGGATTTCAAAACAATCTGCTAAATTACCAATATTATAGTTTGACAGTTATCATTATTTCTGTACTTAATCTTTTGCCTCCCTAAAGGTGTAGTAGTTATTTTGAAATTAAGGTAATTTTTCAATATTCAAAAAGAAAGAAAAAAAGGAAATAAAAAGGAAAAAGAGGCTTGAAACTCTATAAATTATCAATCTACTGATTCTTCTGATGAGTGCAGGGCCTAATCAATGCTCACAGGTGAATTAAACCCAAGACACAAGTCTTCAGTTTTTAAAGTTTCGCTCTGTTAATTTTATTGTCAAGGTGATGTTACATTGGTTCACCCTTTCTCCTTTGTCTCACCATTTGGTGGTTCTCCTTCCCTAATTCAGATAAACGTATATACAATTCACAGGGTACCAAAATCAAATACTGTGACAGTAAGGGATAAACCATAGAGAAAAAGGCAAGAAAAAAGAAATAACTTCACATAGAACATTAAAAACAACAACAAAGAAAAACCTCATTTCCATATCTTGGAGTTCATTTCACTTAGCATCATCTTATATGGTCACATGTATATAGCTATTGAGCTATTGTGATCCTCTGCTAGGACTATCCTAGTCAAATACTAATTATTACAAGTGAGGGAAACCATGGAGTCTATAATATTTGTTTCTTTGGGTCTGGCTTACTTCACTTAGTATGATTATGTCCAAGTCTTTCCATTTCCTTATAAATGGGGCAATGTCATTCTTTCTGATGGAAGCAGAGAATTTCAGTGTGTGTGTGTGTGTGTGTGTGTGTGTGTGTGTGTGTGTGTGTTCCTTGATCCATTCATCTGCTGAGGGGCATCTGGGTTGGTTCCATATCTTAGCTATGGTAAATATCATTGCAATGAACAAATGAACATGATTAACATGGTTGCGCTGGTAGCTTTAGTATGTGAATTCTTTTTTTTTTTTCCAACCACTGCCACTAGGAAAAGTTATGAAATCTTCAAGCTTTGGTGACATAGAAATAGAAATTCACTGTCCTGTCACTTTTTTGGTTTGCTTCTTTTTGGTGGTTCTGTGATTTTTGAAATTCAGGGCCTTGCACTTGCTAGGCAGATGCCAAGTATTTTTTTGTGTACTGTTTATTTTTAAGATAATGTCTTGCTTCCTGCTCTAGTACACCTACATCACAATCCACCTACTTTTCATTTTTTACTGAGCTAGGATGATGGTATATGCCATAAGGCCCAACTTCTTCCACTGAGATGAAGTTCCAGGACTGCAATCATCCCAATCTCAGTTTCCCAAGTAGCTAGGATTATAAACGTAAGCCATGTCCAGCTGTCATATCTTTCTTAAAATACAACTAGGTTTGTTAGTAGTATTAAAGCTTAGGTGAAGACCCATTTTACTATATGTTAAATAACAGTGCCATAATTTACCATATTTCTTTTAAAATGGTCTAATATACTTACTTTAACTTTTCTTTTTTTAGAATTAGTTCATTAAAAACAAGATTCCTTAAAAATTCATTTGTATTAACCATTACTATTTTTTATCAAGTTGGTTAGACAGAACTGTATGTTTCCTCATCATTTTAGAACTTTTGGGATGTTCAACATTTACTAGGTCAGGGTTGAAGGTAAATTCTGAAGGTAAATTCTTATGCACATATACTGAGTAACCAATTTTATATTATTTCGTAATTTTTATTATAAATTTAATAAATGATTAGTCTAAAAATACAGAAAATACAAATACACAAAGAAGAGAAATCAAAACAATTATTAACTCATGCCAGGGAGAGTTATTTGGTACAGTGTCTATGATAATAGGCACTGAAGAATTATTTGCCAAAAGGACAGGGGTAGAAGAAAAAATGAATGGAGTGCAGGCAAGAATGCATGTCCAGCACATAGGCCTGCTGGACGGCTGCAGGGTGAACAGTGTGCGAACCTGCTGGAGAAAAAGAGCCAATGAGCTATCACTGTGAAAGGTTTCTTACTTAGAGAAGACAGTAACTACTGATGAGGGTGCCAAGAACATTGGAGAAAATCCAGCAGCCAGTCGCCGAACAGGGAGAGGGTATTACCTCCAAAAAAGACAGAGGAGTGTTAAAGATTGTCAAAAGAGTGGGAAATAGTGAAGAGATGCCAATGATTGGTGACAAAGTTTACATCCATTACAAAGGAAAATTGTCCAATGAAAAGAAGTTTGATTCCAGTCATGACAGAAATGAACCATTTGTTTTTAGTCTTGGCAAAGGCCAGGTTATCAAGGCCTGGAATATCTGGATGGTCACCATGAAGAAAGGAGAGATCTTCCGCTTGCTGTGCAAAGTGGAATATGCATATGGCTCTGCTGGCAGTCTACCTCAGATCCTCTCCAATGCCACTCTCTTCTTTGAGATCAAACTCTTTGATTTAAAGAGAGGTCTGATTTGAAGATGCAGACAATATCCATAGAATCAAGCAAAAAACTGAGGGAAGGTGTGGCAGGGATTTGGGGGGGGGGGTTGGCAGGTGTGCCCAGATGGATGTGGATAGACCTCAGAGCCTAGGACCCTTCCATGGTCCAATGGGAGGCTTGATGGGGAGAGGTCCAGGATGTTACTTCAGAGGAGGAGGAAGAGGAGTCACCTCCAGGTGTGCCAGTTACCTAGGTAATGTAGGTACTGGCTACATACTTAGCCAAGAGGAGGGAGAGTCTGCCTCGCCTTCCCAAGATGGACTTTACACCACAGAACTGAGAAAATAAAGGTATGGGTGGTTGGAAGGGGAGTGAAGATGCTAAAAGGACAATTCAGATCAAAATGCATTGTATACATACACTGCTTTGTTAAATGGCAAAAAAATTCAATATATATAACCCCAAAATTAAGAAGAGGCAGGGAAGGGGTGGGGTGGCAGGAGTGGGTGAGAATGTTAAAGGGAGTGACATTGATCAAGAGGCACTGTATTCATAACCTGTCTATTTTATAAGAATTATTAGTGTTATGAATCACAGTTGGTCTGTTGGTTTTTGTTTAACTAGTTTTTTTGTCTTTTCTTTTTTGGTACTGGGGAGTGAATCCAGAACACTGCACTTGCAGGCATGTGCTTTGCCACTGAGCTACATCCTAGCCTAATTGCTCTGTTTTTTGTTTGATTGTTTGTTTGTTTGTTTTCCAATTGCTCTGTTTTTAAGGGCAAATAAAAAATACCAGTATCCAGCTAGGCACCTGTGGCGCACGCCTGTAATCCTACCTACTCAGGAGGCTGACAGCCAGGGCAAGAAAGTCCCAGAGACTCTTATCTCTAATAAACCACTCAGAAAACCGGAAATGGTGCAATGGCTCAAGTGGTAGAATGCAAACCTTGAGCCGAAGAGCTGAGGGACAGCATTCAGGCCCAGAGTTCAAGCTCCATGACCGACAAAAAGTAAAATAAAATGAAATTTTAAAAAATACCAGTATTATAGGGCAGTTGTAAGAGTTAAGATCATGGGTTTTGCCAAAGTGCTTGTTCTAAGAAGTGTCCAATAAAAAATGGCAACTATTAGTAGGAGAATATACTATCAGAATTAAGGAAAAAAATTTGCTAGGTGTACATGCATGGAATTCTAGTGCTTAGCAGACTGGAGGCAGGAAGAGATCCTGTCTTGAACCAAAAAGAATGAAAGAAGGAAGGAAGGAAGGAAGGAAGGAAGGAAGGAAGGAAGGAAGGAAGGAAGGAAGAGAGAGGGAGGGAGAAATGGAGAAAGTGAGAAAGACAAAATGAACTAGAGATGGGGGGAGGGGACATGAAACACTGGAGAAGTTTGCATTTTCCCCTATCAAATCTCATCATCTTCCTTCTTTAATGCCTCTTAAGTGTTTTTTTTTCCTTTTTGTTTGTTTGTTTTTTGCTAAATCTAGGACTTGAACTCTGGACCTGGACACTGTCTCTGAGTCTCTGTGCTCAAGGCTAGTGCTTTAGCACTTGAGCCAGAATTCTACTTTCAACTTTTTTTTATAATTTATTGGCGATAAAAGAGTTTCATGGACTTTGCTTACAGGACTAGCTTTCAACAGGATTCTCATATTACAGCCTCTTGAGTAGCTAAGATTGCAAATGTGAGCTACCAGGGTACCTAGCCCCTTTAAGTTTTTTAAAAATCTTTTTTAGTTACATTAATTAGAATTCGATAATCTAAGTGTCACACTTACGTTTTCTTGAGTATAGTCTGCCTTTTTTAAATAAGATTTTTATTATGAAAATACTGTACAGAGGGGTTACAATTACATGAGCAAGGTAATGAGTACATTTCTTATCAAGCATTGTTGCCTCCTCCTTTGTTTTCCCCCTACCATCCCTTCCCTCCCACCTCCACAACTACACCCCCCTGCCTAAATTGTAAAGTTTCTTTTTCAACATAGTGTCTTGTACATCTCATTGTTACAATGGGTAAACCTGTATCCCTATTTAAACATTTTGTTTTTTCCCTTCCCCTCCGTAAATTATAAGGACATCAAATAAAGTGAAAACAGGGGTTATACTGTGGGGGAGAAACATACAAAGCAACAACAACAAAAAAAATTCACATGGTACCTTATAAATGCATTAGAAACCACAGCAAGAAAGAAAAAAACCACTTGTGTCCCTATCTTGGGGTTCAAAAAAAAAACAGTTTTGTGAAGAAATCTGTATTTCCTAACTTAATTAGCAATACTATGGATATCTATTAGCATGACTATAATGACCTTTTATAACCAACACAATGCTTTGCCAAAAAAATCTACAAGGAAAGAATGCACAATCCAGTGTCTCTTGAAAGTGTGTCATTAGAACCAGTTTCACCTGTTTTAAAATGATATGAACTAATATATTCACTGGTACTACAAAATAAATAAAGTTTGGAAATGTATGTGGCACATGAAATGCTGCTGAGCTATGGCACTGCCCTGGTTCCTGCTGTGCGTCTAAGCAGTCATGCAGGAGAGGATGGCAAACATGCTTTGTCATGGTGCAAAAGCAACCTCAGGGAACACCTAAACAAATAACTATGGCTGAGTTCCAATCAAGCTCTTTATAGACATCAATACTTGTATTTCATGTACATTTTACATGTCATAGGTTATTTCTTATGATCACTTTTAACACTTAAAAATAGATGTCTTTTTCTTGTACCTACACAAAACAGGTGCTGTTACTCTGACATCAATAACACTAGAGAAAAGAACTAAACTCACTGAAAATCCCTTCCAGGAAAGTAAAATTAAGGTTGATCTAAAAGAATTTAAGCTAACATAAATGAATGCTCTAATAACTTTATAGCATTAGAAAAATTAAAACAACTTATGCAGGGCACTTCTCAGAAAGAGCAAGGTTATGAGTTTAATCCCAGCACAGTAAAAAAAATTAAAGATTAAATTAAAATAAATGGAAGGAAAAGAGGAGAGGAAAAAAGAGGGTAAAAGGGAATGAGGGAAAGAGAGAAGGTACTCAAAGTTGTATAGCTTGCCATTTATGAGAATTCAGAAAGCGACTTAGCCAAATTCAAATGATAAGATTTAAAGAGTTTCCAAATATCACTTATACAAATAGTTCTTACCTCATTTTATCTCAATATCAATTCTGTACTAATGAAACAGAGACCTTAACCTAACACAAAAACACTGGCAAATAACTGCACATGGATATACTGAAAAATAAAAATGCAAAGCATGTATGCATCTTTATTTTGATATTCCTGGAATTAACTCATTTTAGACTAATGACTGACTTCAGTACAGATGCAGAAGTTTTCTGTTATAAATAACTTCATCCCATATTTTATTTTACCTCATAGAGTGTGTTGTATGTGGTGACAGTCACAGTATTTGTATGCAACATCAGTCTTTCTCCAAGAAGAGTGAAAAGACTGTGGGTGTGCATAATTTCAACTTTTCTCCTGGAAAGAAAGGAGGGAAAAACATACCATAAAACATTGGAGTCTGAGATAATGTAATTTTTAGATAAGAAAGGATATTTGTAAGCACATACAGAGTCATAAAAATTATTTTAGCAGTTTACATCTACAGAAAGAAATAAGTTTAACACAGCTTTTTTTAAAGTCCAAGACTACGCTTTAAACATTTTACATATTAAACTAAAACATAAATACATAAGTTATATAAGCATATAAAAATATTGAGTTATTGCATTCAAATTATTAACAATTATTTAAAAGTTGTTTTTACTGTAAAAAAGGTTTTTAGCTGGGTGTTGGTGGCTCATGCCAATAATCCTAGCTATTTAGGAGCCAGAAATCTGAAGATCACAGTCCAAAACCAGCCAGGGCAAGAAAGTCCATGGGACTCTTCTTTCCAATGAAGCACCAAAAAGCTACAAGTGGAGCTTTAGCTTAAATGGTAGAATGGTAGCTTTGTGTAAAAAAGCTCAGGGACAACACACAGATCCTGAGTTCAATCCCCAAGAGTGGCACCAAAAAAAAAAAAATTTTAACCCCAACACAGACTAAACTTTAACATAAAAAAAATCTAAAATTATGAACAAAAGCTAGATCTAGCTAGATGTCAAGAGTTCCAAAGTAGAATAATTCTGTATCTTTTTCTCTTGTGTTTGTAATCTACCAATAGATTATAAAACAGTTCTTTTCTATTTACTTTAGATGATTTAACAACTCCCTCCTCTCACACTTGTATGCAGATTAGAAATTCTAGGAAAGCTTTCTGGAACACTTAGCTCTATCAAGGTCAGGCAATTACTACAAGCTCCTTATTCCAGTTACTTTCTCATAAAGTATGATTGGTTGGTCACAAACACTTAGTATTTTTTATCTTCCTTTGCTTTTTCTATTAATCCCTATTGTATTTGGTAACAGTAACATAAACTATGTAATCACCCAACTTCTCCCTGGGTCCACAGATGTACTACAATTTCATACTGTCTTAAAAGTACATGTGATTGTGATTTTTAACTGAGTAAAGAGGTGGATTATTTTTAAAGTCTGGCACATAGAAATGCACTCAACACAACCATCTGTGCTTTTTCTGGGAGCTAGAAACAGCCATGTGATAAATACAAGGCTGTGATAAGATGGAAGAAGCTACCTGGATCTCTTAATACTGCTTGCAAAAGAATCATCTTCTGGGTAATACTCCTTTCAATTTTAAGTGAACAGGAGACTACTAATTTGATAAGTCTCACTGTCTCTATATAATAGCAGTTACAGTTGCCTTAATTAATATAGAAGTCAAAGGATGAAGCATTTATCCATGTACTACTCACTTGGAAATCCTTAGTCTAACATCAGCCTTCAAGCAGTATATCATATATATCATACAACAAAGACACAAGGTTGCTGGTCCCCACCCCCAGTTTCCTTCAGTTCTAGGAAGGAAGCAGCAAAACTATCTATACACAGAAGGAAGCTATGGTTTTTCCAGTGACTGTATTTGAAAAACACTTAGGATTACACAGGTCAAATGCCATTAAAACAAACAAACAAAGCACAGGACTTATAGATATTATGGGCTAGATGGAGACAAAGCTTTTGTTTTTCCCCAAGAAAAGCAAGCCTGGAGCTTTCATCTGCTCCTGATCAGGAAAGAAAAATCAAAACAGAAATATCTCTCTCCTACAGAGAACTAGTGAAAACTACAGTATGTCTAAATTGGACCTTTAGGTTTTCAGAAGAATCTCTTCTTTGCTATCTAACTACAGCTACCAGAGAAATTAATACGCTATTGATCTCCATCAATGTAAATTCTTACAGAGGTGCATGATTTTAAGTTTGGAGGAAGCTTGAGAATACTGTATAAATACCATGGAAAAGATGGGTCAACTTCTTCCTACGGTTTGCATTTAAAGAAAAAAACTACTCACACATAATATATGCTGTAGGAGTCAAGAAAAAAAAATGTCAGGTAGAAAAATGGGCATACCAACCCGTTACATGATATGACTTTGTTTCCCACAAGTCTCTGATACAAAGACCATACTCTATGGATTCAGTTCAAGAAATATCTTATTTGGACACTTCCTGGAGAAAATAACATTATAAATCTGCTTAGCAACCCCGTCTAATCAGATACTAGCTTTGTCAGGTTGCTTTAACTTTTGAATTTACAAGACTTTTACCTACTTGAATCAGGAGTGTAATAAATTTTCTAAAAAAGAATATCCTTTTGACTAATGAAAATTAAAGATTTATTAAAATACTAACACTAACCACTAAATACTAACCTTAATCCACTAAAATACATTCCAATTTTCTTTTTCACAAAGCAAATAAGTTTTTATTTTTGTGTGTGTGATGGGGGTATTCATCTAAAACTTCTTGAAATAAATCCAGGAAAATATGGTTTTAAAAAGAAGGAACAGGAAGTGGCACTGTGGCTCAAGTGGTAGAACACTTGTCTTGAGCTGAAGAGCTGAGGGACAGCGTTCAGGCCCAGAGTTCAAGCCCTATGACTGACAAAAAAAAAAAAAAGGAACACTTCCATAATTTCAATATAATAATTATAAGTATAAATTTATGTTCTTCCTATTGATCACTATGAACAGAAATACATACATAACATGTTAATGACATGTTAAATAAGGTCACCATGACAGACATTATTTTACATAAGGCAATTTGCTTGCTTCCTTTAAGTAAACATATCCTCTTCTGTCTTATTAAATACTTAAACCAGTAGCAAAAATGTATTTTATCTGTTACTACTTCTGGACATCTCTATTATATCTGTTTTTTTCTAACATATGCAATCTTTCCTTAAGATAAATCGTTAGCATTGCTATGATTAGTTTATAGGATAAATTCTTATAATGGAAATGAATGGATTAAAATTATGTTTTATTTTTATGGTATTTTGAAAATTGACTCCAAAATAGATACATACATATATATATATATATATATATATATATATATATATATATATATAATAGAGGAATGTTTGTTTTCCTATTTCTTCATAATCTTATAGTACAATAATAGTAAAAAGTCAATTTGATATGTTAAAATACATTATTTTTCTTTTTCAAGAAATGCTGGCAAACTTTAATAATTTTTTTTGGCAGTACTGAGGACTGAATTCAGGAACTCATACTTGGTAAACAAGCACTTTAGCACTTGAGGCATACTTTTAATCCTTCATAAGGGTTTTGAGCATTTGTACAATTTCTAAGAACTAATATTGTCTGTCCTTTGACCATTTTTTCCTCATTGAGATCTTTTCCTACTGATTATAATTATTTTAAGAATATCAAGGCAAGTATTATCCATTATCACATAAGTGAAATTTATTTATTATCTGAATTTTAATACTATTTTTGGTAAGAGATTTTAAATTTTCTAGACTAAAACCTATCAAGCTTAATACTTATCATTTCTTCATTTTTATTTAATGTTGAAAAGAAACTATTTAGTGGTCAATATTAATGCTCCTTATGTAACCTTTCTCCACTAGCATTATTAATTATTTTAACTCATTTTTACTAATAGTTTTAGTGAGTTATATATGATACATAATACAGAAATTCAATTTTTTCAGGGAAATAAGATATGGAGATTTTAAAATTCTACCACCCCAAGGTAACATCATAAAAGCAAAAAGTAGCATGCTCCTTAGAGAAGAAAATGAAAAGGAGAGGTAGAATGACTAAATAGGAAAAAAAATCACATTAAATTTTATTGCATCTTTTTATTGAATGCTAGATTATAATCCTGGAAAATCAAACCCAGGTTCTCATGAATGCTTAATTATCCCATCCTACCCTTCAGCCACCCTATTTTACTTAAATACAGGTATAAAATATTGTTTCATTCCTATGTAATAGAAAGTTAAGAAAGGAAAAAAATAAAAATGAAAAAGAAATATTTCAGGTGACTTGGTTATAAATAATTGGGAATAAGACAGTATTACTAACATATAATTAAAACATTGTAATTTTAGATAATTCGTCCCCCATCTTACATTTTATTGTTTTACATTTCCTCAAGTCACTGTAATTTGGGTCATTGTTTCCTTTACTCTTTCAGTTCCTTTTGTAGCTCATTCTGCTCTTTATCTTGTATTTGAGAGTTAGCACTGATTTTCCAATAAATTATTCTATAGCTCAAATGATAAAGAATTTTAACCTCCTTTTCTCAATGTTTGCCTAAGAACTACATTCTCTCTCTCTCTCTTACAATGTTTTTTAATTGTCCTGGTTCTTAAGTCTTGTTTTTTATTCTATACTTGATTTTCATTTTTGGCATGTAAAAATTTCCTTTACTTTTGTACCTATACATTTAAGTATTTTGACATATTCTTTTCAACATTTCTAGTTTAGTAGTTCAAAGTTTTTCAGGCTATGTATTTTTACTTTTAATTTTTGTCCTCGAAGAACTTTTTATTAATCATATGTTACATCTCCTGTTTTCTGAAGACTTCAATCTTTTCTCTCAATGTATGTACTGGCCCATGTTTTGAGATCTTCCAAGTCCACTAATTCAAGCAAACCCTGCATGAACTAAGGGGTAAGGTATCACTGTGGATTTTCACTTGACTCAAAACGTTTACAAAACATTTAAAAAATATTCTACCCTGGTTTCCATTCATTGGGAGTACAAATTGATTATTGTTTTTCTCTCCTTTCTCTGGTAGCAAGGCACTTTGGGGCAGTTATTTTTATTATTTAGTCACGGTCAGATCACATGGCTCTCAATTCATGGCTTTTTAAAATTTTATTTGCTATCTTTTATGTTTTTAATTTATTGTAAAAGTGATGAACAGTGGGGTTACAGTTACACAACTAAGGTAAGGAGCACATTCCTTTTTAAACACTGTTACCCCCTTTCTCATTTACTCCTGCTTACCACCTCCCCACACAACTTATAAGGTTCATGTGTCAAGTGTCTAGTGAGTATCATTGTTGCATTAGTTCATTCTTTGTCCTGTCAGATAATCTTACATATAAGACAAAGGGTACAGAAAACTAAAACTGAAAGAAAAACATAGACATACAGGACACAATGAGGACCTCTTATTTCCAATTCTTGGAATTCATTTTGATATGCTTCATTATATATGGTCCTATGCACTCAGCAGTTGGGCTATTGTGATCCCCTGCTAAGAATATCAAAGACATATTCTAGTTCTTACAAATGAGGGAAATCATAGAACCTGTATTTCTTTGGGTCTGGTTTGCTTTGCTTGATATAAATTTTTTTCCAGGTTTTTTATTTCCTTACAAATGGGACAATGCCATTCTTTCTGATGGAAGCATAGAACTCCATTATATATATATATATATATATATATATATATATGTAATATATATTATACATATATAATATATATTATATATCACATTTTCTTGATCCATTTATCTACTGATGGGCATCTGGGTTGGTTTCATGGCTCTCAATTCAAAATAATGGAATGCCTGCTGGCATTCCTACTGAGTTAAATATGACAAATTGTGAGTCCAGTTCAATGGCCTCAAAGCTATTTTCCTAGCACTCTCTTTGTCCGCCAAAAAAAATGTGTAAAGACAGGGAGATTATCCCTTATTTAAAGTACCTCTCAGCTTTCTGGTAGTCACATGAAGCCAATGTTAACATTCCTCTGGAGCAGGGGTAGAGGTAGAAGAGGAAAGGAGCTGATAAGTAGAGATCTTTGACAGCAAATAAGTTCAGATCAGCTAGTTTTTGTCAGCTTGGTTTCTACATTTTAAATTCTTTTTTGGTGCCTATTACAACATTTGAAAAATGTCACCAATTTTCCACAAGCACTTTGAAGTTGTAATCTGTATTTACATGGTAAAGAGTTTAATCTATCTGTTAGATAAATGTTCAGATTTCTTTCCCTTTTGATTTTTGTCTTTTGTCAATTGCAGGCCTTGAACTCTGGGCTTAGACACTGTCCCTGAGCTCCTCAGCTCAATGCTAGCACTCTACCATTTGATCCACAGCACCACTTCTGTTTTCTGGTGGTTCATTGGAGAAAGACTCTCAGGGACGTTCCTGTTCTGGCTGGCTTTGAACCATGATCCTCAGATCTCAGCCTCCTGAGTAGCTAGGACTACAGACACGAGCCAGTTATGCCCAGTTCTCTTCCAAAATTTTCTGGACTAAAAGAGGTGAATGAATGTCTATTTTTAAATGTATTGGTTCGTATTAAATTGTATGTAGTAAAAGTTTTCATCATGACATACATGCATATAATATACTATTAAAACCTATTTTAAGTTTTAAACTCTTAGGTGGTTGTCTTCGTAATTTCTACTCTATGAATGTTTAAACTTTCAACATTATAAAGTATCCTTCATTACTAATATTTATTGCTTTTGACTTACAAACTGATTGATCAAACACTGCTTTTGGTTTATATTTATGTAATATACCTTCTACTCTCAATCTTTCTAAATCCCTTTGGTTTTTCATATTTTTTTTTCAAAAATCACTTTTCTTTCAGTAGGAGTCTTACATATAGAACTAGGTTTTATTGTTGTCATCAAACCTTTTAGTTTGCTATTATAATAAACTTGCTTGGTTTAAACATGTCTGATTTTAGCAGACTTTTTGAGTCCTACTATATGTATTTTTTAGATTTATCAACAGAGTTATAAAATTTTGAAAAAAAACTTGTAAAAAATCAGTAATTCTTCATTGTTTAGTATTTGCGATTGTGAGTATTGATAAGTTAAGCATATTTACTCTCTTTTACCATTAAATGAATATTTCAATTGTCAGCTTATATGAAAATCCTTTTACTCTTTGGACCCACTATACTTTCTTCTTCAATCTTCTCCAAATTCATTGTAGTTGTATCACCTATAAATACATATTTATAGTTTTGTTCTTTTTCTTTTTTGCTTATTTGGAAATGTCACTTCTTCAAATGTTGGAACTTCGTTTTCTTATCAATGATTTTCCATCTAATTCTGTATTTTCTTCATCTTTCTATGTTATTTACATTGTTTTCATTTTTATCTTCTGTGTATCTTTCTGGATAACCACAGATTTTTATTTTTCTTTCAACTTCTTCCAATTCCATTTTTATATGTATGTTGATTTCATCCCATTTTTCCCCTAAAATTTGTTATTTCAAAATTCAGTATTTCCATTTTCTGTAAACATTTTTTCAGTTGTTTTGAAATTGTTTATTGTGTGTTCATCCTCAGAAACAATTCATTCATCTTTTTAGCACATGATAAAATTTTAAATCCCCATTATTATAAATGCTCCACAACAATATTTTTCTGGTAAATGTTCTTCACCTACTAGTTTACCAGTCTTGGAGCTTAAACTCAGAGTCTGTGCGTTGTCCCTAAGTTCCTGTTCAAAGGCAGTAATCTACCAACTGATGCACAGCAACACTTCTGGCTTTTTCTCATTAGTTTATTGGAGATGAGAATTTCATGGACTTCCTGGCCAGGCTGGCTTTGAACCGAAATCCTCTCAGTTTCCTGAATAGCTAGTATTACAGGCATGGGCCCAGTGTCTGGCACCAAGTTTTTTTTTTGTTGTTGTTGTTGTTTCTTTTTGTCGGTCTTGTGTGTGCTTGAACTCTGGGCTTGGCTGCTCTTCCTGCGCTCTTCAGGTCAAGGCGAGCGCTCTACCGCTTGAGCCACAGCGCACTTCCGGTTTTCTAGTGGTTTATTGGAGATGAGAGTCTCACGGACTATCCTGCCTGGGCTGGCTTTGAACCTCGATCCTCAGATTTCAGCCTCCTGAGTAGCTAGGATTATAGATGTGCGCCGTTGCCCGCTTTGTCACAAATTTTTGACAGTTAAATTTTCTGAAGTAGGCTATTTAGAAGATGCCTGTGCATTGAAGGGAAGAGACAAAGGCATCCTGTCTGCCTTCACAATCTGAAACCTATACCTCTATAAACAGAGACAGATTTTGTCCACAAATATGACTTACCTGAATAATCCTTTGCATCTTCTGATTTTCTGAAACCAATTTGATTTGGAAAGGATTCTGCTATCAGTCATAATGTATTTACTACCTCAAATAAAAGGTCTTTTTGCTTCTTAAAGTAAACCTTTGATCTTCAAAAAGAGTACTTTAAGGATAGTTTTTGACATTTGCTATTATTCAACATTTTTATCATTCTCTCTATTCTTTCTATTTATTCTTCATACCTTTAACCAATCTAGCATCATTAAGCAACATACACCTTGGAGTTAGTTAGCTGTTTTTATCTTCAATCTAGGTAACAATGTGTTTTAAATATCTTTTAGTCCTGTTGTATTATTTATAAATTTTACAGAAAAATATAAATATATATAAAGAATATATTAATCATTCACATTTATTAAAGCACTTGTCTGTCATTTAAAAACTGCATTATCTGTGTTTCCTCATTTTCTACATTTTTAAATGTGTTCCTTTTATAAATACATAATTTTTTTTCTTTTGCCAGTCCCTGAGCCAATTTAAATGAGCAGTGTTTAACTTAATGTATACATCTGTATAGATCCATTTTCTGTAGTCATGGCTTTGTCTCAATTATTCCCTATAGCTATAATGTCATCATTCTCCCTTATTTTATTTTGATATAAAAAATAAATACATAAAACTTCTATTAAGCATGTTATATATGCCTGATAGAATTTTGTACAATTTTCATAACTGTTAGCAATAAATGCCTCATAAACGTAAGCACCGGAAAAAATTAGTATAACTGATATTCTAGGAATAACCCTATCTAGAAATACTTATATAATAGTACTTCTTCCTTAAGTTCATTGTACAGAAAATAGATTTGTAAAGTATTATTCATTAAATAAAGAATACAGTAAAAGCTACAAACATTAAATATCTATTTACTGCTATAGGAAAAATATTGCTTCAAAATTATTTAAGTTCCATACTGGGGGGAAGAAATTAGTTACTGTATACTGTATGAGTTGTAAACATAATAAAAATTACTGTTACGAAAAGAATACAAAAATCACCTCTCAGAAAAAGCTAAATATACATGGTATTTATTAAGTGTAAAGAAAGTTTTCACTAAAATTGTACTAATAAAAAATTTCTCTTGATAAAATATAATAGATTCTTAAAGTGAACCATCTTTGCTGGAAGAAAATAAAAAACTATTTTACTTTAATAGCAATTGTATACCTTAGTTTACTATTACTATTAACAAATCAACATTATGTTATAGAACATTTTGTAAACATTTACCATTTTCTACTAGTTATCATTATGTCAAATAGGAGTCATTATATACTATATACAAAACAAAAATAAATTTCAGTATTCTTTTCTTTAATTCATTATAAAAAATATACTTACTTGTGACCTAAATGCTTCAAAAAGTATCCCAGAACCTTCAGAGCTTGAACCCATATGCTTTCACTTTTTGAAGCCAATAATTTGTAGATCACCCTAAAAGTAAATAATCTTTTAAACATTTACTAATATTTTTAAAACACTGAATACAAATAAATTACTAAGGTATGTATTATATTACACTGAGAGCTTTTATAATTCTTTGCACAAATTAAAGGGTAGTACATTTCACTAATCTTTCTTTAAAACTGACCTTCAAAAAATGTACACACAAAGGGCAGTGTGATTGGTTATTTGTAACTATACACTGAACTAAGATTTTCAATTTGAAATTATATACATGTGAAAACTTGGCTTGTAATCCTAGCTACTCAGGAGGCTGAGATCTGAGGATTGAGGTTTGAAGCTAGATCAGGCAAGAAAATCAGTGAGACTCTTCTCTCCAATTAACCACCACAAAACCAGAACTACAATTATGGCTTAAGAAGTAAAGCTTTAGCTTGAGTAGTGAAAAGCTCCAGACCCTGAGTTCAAGATCCAAGACAGACAGAAAGACAGACAGACAGACAGACACAGACAGACAGACAGACAGACACAGACACAGACAGACAGGCAGGCAGGCAGGCAGGCAGGCAGGCAGGCAGGCACGCACGCACGCACGCACGCACGCACGCACACACACACACACACACAGCCAAGCAATTGCAGTTAATAAATTCTGTATATACTTGCATACCACCCAACATAATTTACCTATGAGTTTGTAAGCTAAATAGCTTTCAAATGTAAGGAAAAACACAGATTCCTTGTCTCTCTAAAAGATTTAAGAGAGATTTTAAATAGTATAAAACCTTAGAAAGCCAAAATCAAAGTTCAGCAAAACAAAACGTCAGGAAGCAGATAACCAAAAAGGGTACTCAAGGGGAAAAGGGTAGGCATATGAAGAGAAGAAAGGAGGGAAAATGCTGACAAGAATCCCAAGTCTATCATACAAGATTAAGAAGGAATAGTACTGGAAGGATGGCTGAGAGTATAGAAAGTGATTACAACAAAGATATTTGGTATTCATAAACTGCTTGTTAAATGGCAACTCCTTTGTATGACTAGTTAAAGATAATGAAAGTATTTTTTTAAAAAAATAGACATCTGAGTCCACACTCAAATCCCTGTGCCCCAGAGTTGGTATCAATAAATAAAAGACAAACAAACAAATGAAAATCTGGCTTATATCTTTTCCCTTGGGTTCCATTGTTTTGTTCTTGTGTCATTTTTTTTTTTGCTGACATATTATAGGCTCTTACCTTGTAAAATAATCTGTTCTTACTACTTTTGAAATGTCCTTATTTCTTATGCAATTTGTTTTACATTTAATTAATTTCCTTGAGTATCAGAAGATTAACAGCATCTTTTCCATTTCCTTATGTGTTAAATTTTTGTTATATGTATTCAAACATTAAGAGAACAGAGAATATTCTAGAATGCACAATGGAATTCTATTAACTACTATTGTCATAATCATACCTTATTCCATTTCTTTGATCAAATGCTGGTATCATTGATGCTGGGTGTTCTGACATTAAGGCTACTAATAACTGTAACACATCATGGATATTTTCATCCTGCATAATAAAAATCACAATTATTTAGTGAGTTAAAATTTTAGTCCTAAAATATTGAATAAAATAATATAGAAGACCCACCATATGGCCTACCTCATGCATCGTAAGTAGATAATTTAATATACTCTGAAGTTCATCTTCTTTAACCCCTCGATCCTAATTTTAAAAAAATATTTTAGTATTTAATTAAAGGCACCAAAATGATTACTTTTAAAGAAAACAGATATAACATTAAAGCAGGAATGCTTAATTAAAAGTCTTATAGTCTTTATAATCCCTAGACTATATCATTTTAAGTTAAATATATTAGAAAATTATCTTTATTAATAGTTACTAATATTAAAAGTATCGTGATCAGCAATATTCATATTACTATTTTCTAAATACTTTTTCATTGAAACAAGTTTTACAATTTATCTTAACATTTTGCTTGTACTTTCCCATTGTCTTCATTGTGACCTTAAAAATAAATCTGTGGCAAATATATTATACAAGCTCATAAACTGAAACAAAGAACATTTTATAGATTTTATAGGATAAATTATTTATGTTTAATTCTTGTTAATACATTTGTATTACATTCCTTAATATGGAACATTTAACCAAAAATTAAGTTATAAAAGCTGCTACTAAGATGCATGGAATTTTGAAAGTAATTCATGAAAGGTAGTCTTTCCTAATTTAATGACAAAAATTATAGAAGCATAATGAAAGTTCCTTTTCACCTTTTATTTTGCAATGATGAGTTACATAAATTATTTTACCTTTAGTATGAGCTGTTTCAGAAAAAGCAGCATAAATGCACGAAGTGATATAATTTCTTTTTGTGATGGCCTGGGACCATCTAGAAAAAAGTTAGAGAAATGGGGAGAAAATCATACTAGTATAGGCTAAAACATTCAAGCCAGAATGCCACATGCTCTTAAATAATAAAATTAATCTCTAACATGCTGGAGTACAAGAATAAATTATATAAGAAACAAAATAGTTGTTCTACTTTGCTGTCAGTTTTCATTAAAATTCATTTATTGGTTCTCCCACTTCCCTCTCCTTGAGGTGGTTGGAATCAGTGAAGCGCTAGGGCCAAGGTCTAGAAGGCCACAGGGACAAAGGAGACATGAGGCTCTGATGGAGGCAAGGAGTCAACAAAGGGTGGCAAGACCTTTCAGGATTAGTTCCAAAGACCAAGAGCCAGTATGGTAGTCCACACTAAAGAAACAATTCAGATTGAGCAGGCAGCAAAGACTGTTCCTGTAATGTGGAAACTAATAAGGGAGTAGGACATGATGGCTTACACCTGTAGTTCTAGATATGAGAGAGGTTCAGATTGAAAGGATTTTGGTTCTAGCCAAACTCTGGCAAAAAAGTTTGCAAGATGGCATCTAAACCCATTAAAAAGCTGGGTGTGGCGGTACATGTTTGTCATCCCAACTACAGAAAGCATGAATAGGTTGATCACTGTTAGGCTGACCTAGATAAAAAGAGAGACTTTTTGAAAATCTAACCAAAGCAAAAAAGGTGGGAGTCATGGTTCAAGTCTTATTATACTTGCTTAATAAGCACACAGCTCTGAGGTCAATCCAGAGTATCATCAGAAAGAGAAAGCAAGCAAGCAAGCATGCAAGAAAGATGTTATATATGTTAAAACATTGTTTTCACAAAGTAGAGTAAGAAAACAAAATATGAAAGGTAAGAGTCACATTTGACACTATCACACAAGTGATTCGACTATGTCATAATCACATATTCATGTGAAGATTTCTACTGGCCAAATATGAAACAATCCAAACATCAAAGTAAGTGAAAAAATAAACAAAATGAACAACAACAAACCTCAAGTGAATGAACAAGGATAGTATTTAGGCTAAATATGCCATGCTATCTGTTTTTAGTGGTTTCATTAGAACAAACAAAACATATGCACTTTTATAGTACCTAGAGCAATTTCTAAATAAAAATGACAGGGTTATCTACTTTCAACACTGACTTTAAAGTATTGCAAGCCCCAAACACTTAATATATCTGCAAAGAAAACATACCAATTGTTGATAAAACATACTGAACAAAATAGTTACCATGTCCCAAAACTAGTATATAAATGAAAAATAGTAAGTGGATAAAATTCTTTCTAGCATTATTTGGCAGCCATTCCAGTAGACCAATTCCAAAATGAATTATCTATGAACTAAAACAACTAGGGAAAGTTTTGTTGAAGAATATGATATGTAAATAGTCTTAATGTCTTTTCTACCAACTGCTTTTTAGTTTTGAAGGACAAAGGAGACATTTCATACTGAAAAAAAAAATCATGGAAAACAATGCTTCATCAAATGTTCAAAGTTAAAGTCATTTATGACAAGATAACTGAACATCATGTACCTCCTTGACATGATACAATGAGACAAAAACATAATGAGTTTTCTGTAATTCCTGGCAAATTAAAAAATATTAACCACCATGAGCAAATATCCAACAAATCCATATTAAGGAGCATTCTGAAAAAGTAATTTCTTGTATTCTTTAAAAATGTCAAGGTTATGAAAGATAAAAGAACTACTCCACATAAGAATGTTAAAGTGACAAAGTAAGTCAGTGCAATACAGAACAGCAATAAGAAAAGAATTTTTTTTCTGAAAAAGAAATTATTGGGCTAATTAGTAAAACCTCAGTTAAGTCTTTGAATTAGATGTACTAAGGCTAATTTCCTGATTTTAACTTTAACATTTTTTACCAGACAGTGGAAAGTCATCACATGTAAAATTTATTCTTAATACTAAAAAGTATCCATACACAATATATGGAGGGACCATAAAAAAAGAATAACAGTAATTAAGTGTATGAAATAAAAGGTTAAGATACTGGGAAATGGGAAGGGCATATGAGAATTCTTTCCATAATTCTCCTAAAAATTTAAATCATATTTTTATTATCTTTAAGCAGTTTCCTTGTTTTTTCAAAATTAGAAATTAATGTTTGACAGTAGAAATTAACTTTTGTGACTATATTATTTGCTAGGGAGGATATAGTGTAGTGTTCCAGAAAAAAAAGGGATTCTAACTAAAATGATTCAAATTTTAATGCTCTCAGAGCTAACTTTCCATTTCTTTTTGTTGTTGTTGTTGATTATGGGACTTGAACCCAGGGCCTGGGTGCTGTTCCTGAGTTCTTTTGCTCAACCACTTTGAGCAACAGCACCATTTGCAGTTTTCTGGTGGTTAACTGGGAGAGATAAAGGTCTAATTGACTTTCATGCCTGAGCTGGCTTTGAACCATGATCCTCAGATCTCAACCTCCTCACTACCTAGGATTATAGGCATGAGCCACCAGTGCCTGGCTCCATTTCTTAATGTATAAAAACATCATGACATCAACAACATGGGTATATAAAGATGCAATCTATGTATGTGTCTACATTATATGTTATTAACCATTAACATGTCATCAATTGTAGCATAGAATTCAACTTGTGGCAAGAATTTAATAGACTTTAATCACAACAAACTTAAAACAATGAAGAAGTTCTTAAAAGATAAACTAGGTCTGAGTAAGAATAACAATTCTTACAGCCTTGTTCCTGAAATAAAAGTAAATTCACATAAAAAATTAAAATAGTGAAGTGCTATTTCCTTTACCCAAAAGAAATGGATTCCTAACACATTATCACTGAAATATAAATAAATATATTTCAGAAAAAAGCTCAAAATGAATACATCAATTCTAAAGAAAGAAACAAACTACATAGAAAGAAGTGTATGGTCCTGGTATTTACTGAATAAACTATACATATAATGTAAATAGCACATCTTTATAAACTACAGAAATAATATAAATACTAAATCCTCTTACTACAGAGAGCTGAAAAAGAAAATGGTCATAAATTAAGAAAACCTTAATATTGTTTTTGGAATGTACAGTTCTTTATTTTTTAATTTTTTTGTTGTAAAGATACTGTACAGAAGGGTTACAGTTACATGAGCAAGGTAATGAGTCCATTTATTATCGAACATTGTTACTCCTCCTTTGTTTTTCCCCTACCATCCCCCATTCACTTTCAACATAGTGTCTTGTACATCTCATAGTTACAATGGTCAACCCGTATCCTTATTTCAGCATTTTGTTATTTTCCTTCCCCTCCCCAAGTTAGAAAAATGTATATACAAGATGCAGGACACCAGAATCAAATACAGTGACAACAGGGGTTATACCATGGGGGAAGAACATACAAAAGAAACAAACAAAAACAAAATTCACCTAGTACATCATAAGTACATTAAAAAGAACAAGAAAAAAATCTCTTGTCCCTATGCTGGGGTTCATTTCACTTGGCATCAGGTTATATGGTCATATGTACATAGCTTTTGACTCTTCTGCTTGTCCTCGACATATACTAGTTATTGCAGAAAAGGGAAACCATGGGACCTATGTTTCTTTGAGTCTGATTTACTTCACTTAATATAATTTTTTCCAAGCCTTTACATTTCCTAACAAATGGGGTAGTATCATTCTTTCAGTTGGAGGCATAGAATTCCAGAGAGAGAGAGAGAGAGAGAGAGTGTACCACATAAGAATATCTTAATTTTGTAAAAATTTCTAAAGAGTCTAATCATAGTTTTGTCTAAATGATTAAATTCACATATTTCAATAATGAGAAACAGTGAGAGAGAAGATGCCAAATATGTAAGGACAATTATTCAGATAGCTTGGTTGATGATTAACATTTTTCCCTTTGATAGTGTTTTTCCTATAATCTGTATGCAATTGTTAAGACTGGCTTTCCATCTTAGAACATAAAATAAAGCATAGTGAGAAGAGAGTGGTGGTACATGCCTGCAATTATAGGAGATGAGGACAAGAGGATCATGGTTCACAGCTGATCTAGGAAAAATCATGAAACACTATCTGAAAAAACACTAAAAAATTTTTTAAAAGCCAAAAAAGGATTGAGAGTTGGCTCATGTGGGAGGGTACTTGCTCTACTGGGGCAAGGCCCTGAGAAAGAAGGAGGGAAGGAGAAAGGGAGATAAGTGGGGAAGGAAGGAACGAAGGAAGGAAGGAAGGAAGGAAGGAAGGAAGGAAGGAGGGAGGGAGGGAGGGAGGGAGGGAGGGAGGGAGGAAGGAAGGAAGGAGGGAAGGAGGGAAGGAGGGAAGGAGAGAAGGAAGGAAGGAGGGAAGGAGGGAAGGAGGGAAGGAGGGAGGGAGGGAGGGAGGGAGGGAGGCAGGGGGAAAATGGAAAAGGGAAAAGGGAAAGAGAGAAGGGGAAAGGAAAAAAAGAAAAGGAAGGAAACTTAGGGAAGGAAAGGAGAGCTAGATACATGGATTTTGAATGGTTAAATTAGTTCTTACTACTACAACTTTCAGAACAAAGGATAAATTGGTAATAAAAATTCAAAGAAAGGTGCCTCTCTGTAACAGTGAAAGAAAAAGCATTAGAAAACATTGTTAGTAACTAATATGATGAAACAGTTTGGGTGTTCTGTTTTGTTTTTTGTGCTGGTTCTGAGGCTTGAACTCAGGGCCTGAGTACTATCCTGAGCTTTTATGCTCATAGCTAGCAATCTATCATTATAGCCACAGGTCTACTTCTGGCTTTCTCGTGGTTAGCTGGAGATAAGTATCTTATGGACTTTCCTGCCCAGGTTAGCTTCAATCCAAGATCCTCAGATCTCAGCCTCCTGATTAGCTAGGATTACAAAGGTGAGTCACCACCACCTAGCCATCCATCAGTTTCTGATATGATAAATATATCTTCCTGAACCTAAACAGAAATATCCAGGTAAAAATGAAGACTACTGTTTTCACACTCATCTTTACTCCTAAAAAATTTAATACTGAAAAGCAATAAACATATGTTTACAATAAGCCATCTCAATACCAGTCTACTTCATAAGAAAGGAAAGATTACAGTGACAATTTTATAATCATGCATATCTGTTCACTATAGTAGTACTCAGGACACAGAACAATCCAAAGAGAAATGGAAACACTGGGAGTGGTGTACTTACCTAATCCTTTAGGAGTAATACCACTACTATCAGCAGGATTAATGACCCAGTAGTAATATTTTAATGTGTGCATTAGCTGTAATACTGTTCCTACTCTCCGGATGGTTGTATAGATGGTAGCAGTTCCAATAAATTCAGCAGACAAATAAGTATACAAGGAAAGTTGAACCTAATAGAGAAAATTACCAGATTACTAACATAAAATGTCTCAAGTGATTATAAGTAGAAATTTAAATTTAATTCAAATAAAAGTTAGTGAAGACTAAGAAATGAGGACATATTATGAATTTGAAAAGAACTTTTCTTATTATATATTTTTAAAGGAAAATGTTCAAAATACAATCAGTCCCAATATAATTAATCCTAACACCACTGATTTTATTAACAGTCATCTATACTAAAGAGTTTAATAAGAATAATAGCCAAGCAGCAGTGGCTCACACATTTATTCCAAGCTACTCAAAGGGCTGAAATTTGAGGATCATCTTTCAAAGTCAATCTGGGGAACAAAGTCTAAGAGATTCTCATCTCCAGTAAACCACACACAAAAAAAGCCCTTAGTGGAGCTGTGGCTCAAGTGGTAGAGTGCTAGACTTGAGTAAACAAGCTCAGGGAAACCATGCAGACCCTGTTCAAGAAACGTTCAGAGGAAGGAAGGAAGAGAGGCAGGGATGAAGGAAGGAAGGGGCGAAGGAGGGAGGAAGGAAGGAGAGAAGGGAGGGAGAGAAGGAAAGGATGGAGGGAGGGAAGGAAAGAAAGGAAAGGAATGGAGGGAGGGAAGAAAAGGAAGGAAAGAAGGGAGGGAGGAAGGCAGGGAGGAAGGGAAAGAAGAAGAGAGGAAGGGAAAAAAGGAAGGGAAGGAAGGGAAGGAAAGGAAGGACGGAAGGAAGGAAGGAAGGAAGGAAGGAAGGAAGGAAGGAAGGAAGGAAGGAAGGAAGGCAGGCAGGCAGGCAAATGGAAAGAATACAATAAAGGTGGCTATTGACCAATAACTGGAATCTAATGAGATATTAATCCAATGAGAAAATATAATTATTTTCAAAGTTAATGATGTCGACCCTTAGAGGCTGAGCACAGGCTCTGAGATTCTGTATATAGAGCTCTATCACTTGAGTCACAGCTCCATTTCTGATTTTTCTGTTTTAGGTATTTATTGGAGATAAAACTCTCTGAGACTTTCCTGCCCAGTCTAGTTATACACAGCTATCCTCAAATCCATCCTCCTGGTTACGAGGATTACAAACGTGTGTGCCAGTAGCACCCTGCTAACATTCTTAAAAAAGGACTTTTCAGGGCTGAGAAGGTGACTCAGTGGTAGAGTGCTTGCCTAGCATGTATGCCTGAGACCCTGGGTTCGATTCCTCATACCATATAAGCAGAAAAAGCTGCAAGTGGCGCTGTGGCTCAAGTGGTAGGGTACTAGCCTTGAGCTGAAGAGCTCAAGAACCCAGAGCCCAGAGTTTAGGCCCATGACTGACAAGAAAAAAAGGACTTTTCAGTAGATATTCATAAATATATTTCTTCACAAGACCAGAACTAGTATCAAATATACCCAAAGTTCATGTGTTTAATCCAAAAGCAAATTGTTTAAATAGGGATACAGGTGGCCCCTTTGCAACAATGAGATGTACAAGTCGTTATGTTGAAAACGAACTCTACAACTTTGGTGGGGGGGGAGGATGGGGGGGGGCGAGGGCGAGGGAAGGATGGGAAGGGATGGGAAGGGGAAACAAAGGAGGGGGTTACAATGCTTGATAAGAAATATATTCATTTTCTTGCCCATGTAATTGTAACCCCTCTGTACAGTATTTTCACAATAAAAAGACATTTATCCTAAATTTAGAAAAATATCTACCTTATGTATATTCTTATTTAAAAATAAATATTATTTATATGTCATAATATAACTCATGTTCAAAAGCCCAGTACTGGTGGCTTGTGCCTGTAATCCTAACTATCGGGAGGCTGAGATCTGAGGATCATGGTTCAAAGCCGGCCCAGACAGGAGTCTATGAGACTCTTATCTCCAAAAAACCACTAGAAAACTGGAAGTGGTGCTGTGACTCAAGAGATTAAGTGCTAGCCTTGAGCTGAAGAGCTCTGAAACAGCACCCAGAACCAGAGTTCAAGTCTCAGGACCAACAGAAAAAAAGAATTATATTCAAAATGAAAGAAGTTTCCCAATCAAAATGACTCTAGCAGCCATGATACAATTACCTTTTTTGTTTTCCTCCTCTTTCAAAAATTTGTATACCAAAGTCTCTTCACTGAAAAATCATGAATTATACCAGATAACATCAGAGCTTACACCAGTGTTATAGCAAACTTAATTTTTTATATTTTTTATTGTAGAAATACTGTACAGAGGGGTTACAATTACATGAGCAAGGTAATGAGTACATTTCCTATGGAGCATTGTTACCTCCACCTTTGTTTTTCCCCTACCATCCCTTCCCTCCCCACTTCCCCAACTACTCACCCCACAAAGTTGTAAAGTTTGTTTTCAACAGTATCTTGTACATCTCATTGTTACAATGGGTCAACCTGTATCTTTATTTTACCTTTTTGTTATTTCTCTTCCCCTTTCCCTTCCCTTCCCCAAATTAGAAAAATGTATATATAAGATGCAAGGCACTAGAATCAAATGCAGTGCAAACAGGGTTATACAGTAGAGAAAGAACATACAAGAAAAAAAATCACATAGTACATTTAACATACATTAAAAATAATAGCAAGATAAATCAAAAACACTTTTTTGTCGGTGGTGAGGCCTGAACTTTTGGCCCAGGTGCTGTCCCTCAGCTCTTGAGCTCAAGGCTACTGCTCTACTACTTGAGCCACAGCACCACTTTCAGCTTTTTCTGCTTATGTGGTGCTGAGGAATCGAACCCAGAGCCTGAAGCATGCAAGGCAAGCACTCTACCACTGACTCACCTTTCCAGCACCTCAAACTTAATTTTTAAGTAAGTTAATTTATTTTCTATTTACACATTAAATACTTTGATATTTCAGGCTAATATAACTGTGGTGGGATAACTATAAAATAATCCAAAAAAAATTAGATAGTTACTACCATGTATTTTAGATCCAGTAATTATAGAGTATAACATTATATTCAAATAAAATGAACCAACACAAAATTCAAACCTTTGCAGGTGTGTGTATCCAGATGGCTGGGTTAAATAAAATGTGGTCGCAAAGTTGCTTTAGTAAAGGTGCTCCATGAGATAAACCATCAAGGTATTTCGCAAAGGATAAAAATTGCTCCAACACAGCTCTAGTTATATGCACCCTTGAGGACTAAAGAAAAACAGCAACAAAAATTCTAACTGAAAAGATCCATAATATCAAATGACACAATTGGATAAATTAATGTAAGTATACAGAATTATTCATCTGCTATCCCTCGTAGTTTAAGTTCAGAACACAAAGTTTTATATATTACTTGTCAATAAATTGTTATTTGTAAAATGAAACCTAGTATTTAATTATACTTCTTTAGTCTGGCAAGGTGATAGATGCCTATAAGTAGGTGGTGGCAAGAGGATCATACATTTAAGTGCAATCAAGGTAGATTTAGCAAGATCCTACCTCAAAAAAATAATAAAAGGGCTGAGGAACATAACTAAAGTGGTAGAGTATTCACCAAACACAAATTTAATCTCCAATAATACAGGGGAAATACATATGTATATAATAATATTTCTTTGAGTTATAGAGATTATATACCTCTCATTTTTCATATATTCATTTTTCATATAATTATAGATACATATCTCAGATCAAATAAAGCTATCGGCTCAAGCTAACAAAGTGGAATTTATAATAATGTCAAATATCATAAGGAAATATCATACATAGAAAATTTGTAATCATAAAAATTGTAAAAAAAAAAAGACATTGGGAAAGAGAGATTCTTTCACAGAAAGTAATTCCAAACTGAAGAGATAATAAACTGACCCTATTATTCCATTAAATCTGTTCTCCAAAAGTTACAAATGAGTTCCCATCTCTCTTTAGCATCAATTGTTCTAATCTACTCATAAACAGATCAGACTCTCCTGGACAAGTTGTTTTCATTTGGCTTTCATGATCTTTACACTATTCCTCAGTGTCCTTTGCTTAAATATTACTTTCTTAGACTTCTTTCCTCTATACATATACTATGACTTCTAGGAGAATTCAGTCACAATATTCATTGCATTCTTATGAAACTAAGAAAACTGAGGGGAGGAGATGGGATGGAAGGGATAGGAGAAGGATGAAAAGGGTTGACATTGATCAAGATGCACTGGACTTATAAACTGATTAGTTGAATGGTAACTCCTTTATATAACTATAACTCCTTTATATACTATATATATAGGATATATATCATATCATTTCATAATTCAGTATAAAAATGATAAATATTTCCTTATATTGAAATGACATCTAATATATTAAAGAGAATATATTATTAAAATTATATTTTAATGTATAATTTAAGTTTGTTTCACCTGTAATATTTTACTAATATCTTAAGTTGCATATGAGGTTCACATTATATTTCCTTTGGACAATGCTATCCTAAAATAAGTGAAAATATTAGACACAAAAACACTCTTCATAAAAGGTAATAATTTAAACTCAAATACCAGAAACATATCTTCCTTGATAAATCATCAAGTGATCTTTTCTGTAATATTATAGGTAATGAATTAGTGATTGATGAATTCTGAAATAGATGTCACACTGTATTTTTTTCCTTAGTTTCTACTGACTGAAGTCAAAATAGTACTACAGGATATTCAAAGTCTGAAAGATTGAAACTGTCTTACCAAACTTTACCTTCCATATAAATTATGTACATGTTCTATGCTTCTAACCTGGTCATCTTCGTAATTTTTGAGTATGCATTTTCATACTTCTACATAGAGCATCTCAAACTTAATAAATTAACAACAAAGTGTAAATTAGGGTTAGATAATAAACTGAGTGGCAAGTAATGTTATGAAATAAAATTCAAAACAAAAACTACTGTTGAACCAAACAGATTTTTTTTAGATCAAGTTTGCCCACACATTCTAATACTGTTCCCTTCAAGGTGTAACTAATATCCTTATGTCTATTTCCTTTATTGTAAAAGTAGACCTCAAGACTTTTTGTTTAGTCATTTAAAAAATATACACAGTGAATACTTAATATTTACTGGGCACTCTCTTTGACACTGTGGAAAAAACAGTTAACAAAACTGAAAGAAAAACTTCTGGCCTCTTAAAAACTATTTCAAGGAAAGAGATAGTAGTACAGACAATAGGTAAAATGAAAAGGTAAACTGTGTGACACTAGATGTTAATAAACTCATTAAAAATACAAGGTACAGATAAGAAATTTGTGGGTGAGTTGTGGTGTTATTGAGAACGTAGTCTTTAATTCAAATTAATGATAAATAAGAATTTTACATTAATAAAAGTGTACACTTGACAAAATACCAATATTTTCTGCATATAAAAGAAAATATGTGATAAAAACTGACTTCAAATAACAATGGTATTTCTAGAGGTTGGGAATGGCATTTATGGAAGAGTGAACAGAGGGAGGCTAGGGTTCATTAGTGCACATTGTATATATATGCTGAAATATATCATACTGAGCACAATTAATAAGTATAATTAATCCATATTAATTTAAAAAGAATAAAAAAGAAATTATAAATGTAGATTTTAAACTTTCTTCTTGTACTAATGTTTTAAATAAAGATTCTTATTTCCTAAACTTAAAACAGAAATGGGAGTGTTTAAAATAAAAATGTAAAACCAAGAAAAAAATAAGTCAGTGGAGTGAAAAATAAAAAAGGAAACAGCCATTTAGGTAAGTACTAATGGATTAAGCCTGTAATTCTAATGAGTAAGTGGCTGAGATCCAGAAGATGAAGATACAAAGTCTACAAGTGTCCATCTCCAAAATAACCAGCAAAAGCCTTTTACTCCCATTTGAGTCAAGGCTCAAATGGGAGTAAAAGGCTCTGAGTTCAAACCTTGGTACTGGTACTGTTTGTTGAAAAATTTCTTTCTTCCAGCCTATTTTTGGCTCCCATATAAAATATTAGATGACTATAGGTCAGTGGGTTTATTTCTGGGTCTTCTATTTTGTTCCACAAAAAAAAATCTATGAGAAATGATACTTGGAACTTCAATAAAAAATTAAATTTTTTTCTTTAGTTTTCATTTTCACTCAAAAAAGTCACTAATTACATTTCTAACATGTTTAACCATAATTTTAAAACATTCTTAAACTAATAAATGATATGACCATTGAGCCAAGGAAAGGAAGTTACAGAAAATATGATTAGCAATTGTCAGTTATTTAGTTATGAGAACTGCATATCACTTACCTTTTCAAGTAAGTAGCCAATGACTAAAAAGCCTTTTCCACCCAGCATCTGTTCTTGCATGGCTACTGAACTTTTAAGTAATTCAACCAGGAATGCCAAAAGAGTAGCACTGCATATAAAGTACAAATAATTTCATTTTTCAGTCATTAAATGTTTATTATAAATATGTTTCACTTCAATCATTATGCAAAAAATAACAACCATACTCTAATATCTATTTGATGATAAAAGTTATTTATATAAATATATCTTCCCACAAGGAACAGAAAACTTTTATATTTTATAAAATTAAGTAGAATAAATGGAAAATAACTACATATTTTATATTACATAAACATCAAATCTTATCTATATAACTATGTAATTCCTGCTCTAAGTAAACCTAACATAAAACATACATATGTAATATCATAATATAGATTGTATCATAATATTCTTTGGAAAAACAAACTCAAATAAATTTAAATATTTGTACAATATTGTTTGGAATGAACATAATTAGCTGTAAATAAATGTATTATTTAAATGTGCTTCTCATACACATTTTAGTTTTATAAGATACCAAGAGAAATATGTAATATATCATCTACTTCTACATATGCCCTCAGAAATTTTCCTGAGAACATAGGAAAGAAATGACTCATGTATACTGAAATGAAAAGTTGCAATTAATTACACAGTATATAGACAAACACACAAAAGCACAGATAGTAATATTCCAGACAAAAGTTAAGTACTAGGTACATCATTGAATGAGTGAATGAGGGGAAAAAGAAAAAAGAAATGATTGTATTGAATAAAGCTTTGATAATGTATTTCTTCACAAAATTACATATATTGATTTCAAACACCATTACATGAATATAGCATTTCTGAAAGTAAAAATATATGTCCTTCACTATGTGTTTAATATAGTTTACAACAAATTGTTATAAACATTTCATAAAGAATTAAAATATCTACCAAAATATTAGCTTAAGTTACCTATTTATATTTATAAGAAGTGTAAAGCCACAGATTTCTAATTATCTTTTAAAAACAATAGTATTCGTTCTTACAAAAACTAAGAAAATTTGGTAATGTGGAAGACTTGACAACTGTTATGGAATCTCAAGTTATCCTAGCCTCTGAATTATTCTAGCTCTCTGGTTTCAACAGAATTGACAAAGAACCCATTTCTATGATAATGTGGCTATTTTTGTTTCAATCAGAATTGTTATAATAAGAACCAATAGCAACATAATCACTATCATAAAATTAATTGTTTAATGAGCTACATGATCCCAGCTTTATAAAGTACACTACCAAGAAATAAAGCACTTCATATCAGTAAATTAAAATTCAATTATATTAATTTGCCCTAAAGCCTTAAACCACAACAATAATTAAATATTACAAATCAATCGTATTCTTTTACTTTGTCCTTAGTCAAAAGAAACATATTTATAACACAACTACCAAAGGGATCCCTTAAGATTTTTAAATGTTTTTGTAAAGAAGTATAGCTATTGAACAATTTAGTCCATTTTAAATAAATTGAATCAATAGTCAAGGCCACTTCACAAATAATTGCATAAGTACTGTAATACATTTAAGAATTATGCTTATATATTTGAAAAGAATAAAGAAAACTACTATATAGAGGTTACACAATCTCCTGATCTGTTCATGAATTTTTATCTAAAATTACTTAGTGATTTAGGAGGAAACTGGTTTTCTAAATTTCAGCTCTGTCAAAAAGAAAAGACTAGAAATACCTAACTATGGTCACTATTGTCCATGAGAACAGGCAGAAAGGGTAAAATCACCTCCTAAGTAGAACCATATGAAGTTATAAAGATGCCATGAATTTTAAAATTATTTTATGTCAGAAGAACTAATCATTCTCCAACATCTAATATGTTAACTAGGACCTATAAATATGGTTGAATTCCATTACAAAAACAGAATATCATTTATTGTAATCCCCAAATCTTAATACAACTATACTATCCATAAAATATTAATTTCACTTTGATAATAGCCATACAATAATGGAAAAGTCAAATACATTCACTAACCAAACTATTTTTAATTTGTACCTAAAACCCAAGGCAATAACAATACCAAATCTTTTTTAAAAAAATCTTAAAAATACGGTATATTTGACATGATGGACGTATTAGTAAATAGATGGCCATCTTCGAAGAGGTACATTTTCAAACATAATTTAACAAACTTACCAGTAACTAAAATGCATCGGATTGCTGCAGGGCTCACAATAAACTTGCAAAATTCTGTGTACTGCCATACAAAATTTCTCTCCATTCTTGCCTATTTCCAACTCCCCTAGATACAAAGGCAAATATAAAGGATACTTCAGCCCATTCCTATATCTCCTACATACCACCTCCTGTCTAGAACACATCAGTTCATCTGCAGAGGATCTACATATACAAGATAAGCCAAAAAGCAAGTAGCCATGTCAGCCCAAACTAGTGTACACAACATAGAAAATTCTCTTGAAAAGTATAGCAATACCAATGGAAAGAGTGTTGTCAGAGCATTCTATTGATAAACAAAAATTGTATTATTCTATGATGTTAAATTGCTAAACTTCTCAACAGACAGTACTGTAACATTTACTCTGTAAGAAGCATTACTACTTCAGATATGATTAAGGGTTTTTAATCCTGTCTCTTTTTAAGGAAAATACCACTAATGTTTTATTGAGTTGAGTTTTTTCTTAAAAAATAATTGTAATCTTCTAATTCTTAATAAATTTAATTAAGTAAAGAAATAGTATTAATTTTAAATATAAAAATACGAGAGCTAGACCCTGGCAAAATAAAAGAAACAGTATAATGCTGCCTGTAATAACTCAATGTATCTATTTCTCTCCAGATCTTTCTATCCATACTGTTAAAACAATAGCACAATAGTCTTGGCCTACCTATGTCTGAGAATGGTATAAATAGAATTAACTTTTAATAAAAAGATAAACTCTTAGATTTCATTAATTTTATAGAAATTCAGATTCTGATAACCACCTTAATTTTTCCACTTAAAATTTCAAAATAACTAAGAGTTATAATTCATAATATAACCCAAGAGGTTATATTAAATTCGTGGTACTTCTAGTATTTAAAGACTCGGTACATCATTTTTAAGAATTCATAGATATCCTGAATTCACTTCAAAGTTAGCTCAGAGAAGATACAAAGTATTCAATGTGCTTTGTATCAAGCAAGTAATCACAGCTAAATTTACTTTTATATTAAGAAGAAATTAAATAACAAAAAACTGAAAGATTCCCCTAAGATTCAACACCCCTACTCATTTGAAAATATGTGTTTAAACTCTGGAGAAGTCTACAGAAAAAAGGATAGAATAAATTCTGAATTAGATTAAGTTTCCATCAAGATTTCAGGTACCAGTAAAGGTGAGATATCTTTTGACATTTCAGAAAGTTTCATCTCTTAAGAAGACTAATTCAGTACTGAAATTAACTGAAAGCTTTCAAAAGATGATGAAATTATAGAAAGCATCTAACACTACAGATGTTATGGATTTCTTTCACCACGAAACTTTGCTAAGTAAGAGTGTTCATATCAGAAATGAAGCTGTAAAAGTCCACACACAAAATAACTTCACACCCAAGACAAATAATTCCCAGTGACAAACACGCTATAACTTCTTAGTGAATATTTAGTAGTCAGTTTTAGGCAAGGCACTCCTAAAGATTCTAACTCAAAGACAACTGCCTAAGTGTTCAACAAAATCCTTATACAAACAAACACTGTCACATTCTTCGTTGCAGACATCAAGCCGAAGTATTAAAGAAAATGGTGAAATGCAATGCAGATGGAATGTCCCTACTATCACATGAAATGACTAAGCCTGACTTTGGTGATAAAATCTTTTAAAGTAATTTCTACCTTTCCCTTCAGCCTGATAAAGAAACAGGTTGTCTTATTAACTGAATTGATACTTCTTAAAGAGCCTCCTTAAGAAGATCTATTCAAAATTAGGCTGTTACATATTTAGGTCTTCCTTTGTTTTTTAACAGATTTTGATTTTATGATTCATTGGACTATTTCTGACAAAGGGAAAAAAAGAAAAAAGAAAGTTTCAAAGTCTAAAAGCTTGTAATTTAAATGCATCAATCTGTGCTATAAAAGGAACAAAATTTTCAGTTGGAAAGGAGTTAATTCTAATCCACTCTCTTATTATAAACTGATGTATACTGTCATTAGTTATCTAACAAAATTCATGCAGTTTGAAGACAAGTCTTTTTTTTGTTAGTTCATATATTTACTGAAGATATTTAATGTTTACCAAAAACATACAAATAGGAACAAAAATCTCACAAAACTGAATAGTTCTTCAGTTTAATTGACCCTACCTAAAAGATCTCATAACAAACTAAATAGCCTCTTCATGAAAACTTTTCTGGACATGTTAGAAATAGCAGACACCATTCATTCGTATGGATTCATATTAGAAAATTTAACTGTGCTATATCTTAACACCTAAGGAGAAACTAATCAGTTAAACATTAGAAAGAAAAAAATAGAGGCATTTATAGTCATACATAGGTGACCTTAAATACCTGTGCATATTATAAATGCTCTTGAAGACCAAAATGTAGCAACAGTAAGACCAAATGCCGAGTAATAGAAGTGTTGACATTTTCAAATTCAAGAAAGCAAACAAAAGCATCTAACTACACAGAACTGTTTCAGATATAAAACATTTGAATAAATATTACATATGCCCAGGCATTTTCCATTCTTTGTATAATTCATTTTACTTTCCAGTGAACATACAGTTAAGACTAATTTTTATTTAACTTTTGAGGGATACAACTCTCCAGAATCAATGTGTAGAGATACATAGATTTAACCACTATCACAGTCAATACCCAAACCAGTTCCATCACATCAAAACTTACATTATCTGTTCCTCAACAGCTGTATTAACACACAGAATCTCTCATTCATATATATATATATATATTCATATATATATATACACACACATACATACATACATATATCACTATAGTTTTGAATTTTAAGAATGTAAACCTGTGTCCAAAGACTGAATTCTTAACTTCAGCATAATGCC